ATTTTTTGCAGAGCATTTTTATATAGACGAATGAATTTTATAGCTGTGAGTAAAATAGAAAGGGATAAACTGCTACTAATAATACTGCAACTAAAATTCTTAATACCGCCCTATATAATAAAAAGGTTAATATTATTTTTTAATTATTGCAAATTAATTACTGAATTAATAAAGTCAGTAGTTATTTTTTAATTAAACTAAAAACATTAATATTATGCAAAGCGAGGAGAACCAACTTGGCGAATGAAAAGCAAACTAATTTAAATCAGAAAAATAAATTATTCTTTGCCGAGCAAGTCTTTATCTTTTAATAACAAATAAAATAAGTCATAAAATTATTTTTATTGGAATAAATGTGTATAAAATTAAATGGATATAACTGAAATATATTTATTAATAATAAAACAGCAAATTATTTTATATGATAAAGTGAGCACATTTAAATATGAAAATGAAATGAAATGAATTATGAAAAATTATAATTTGCAAGTTATATTCTTATTTACATTGAAGCTCTTAAAAAAGAGATATTTTGTTTCCTAATTTATTAACTTATTTCTTGATTTTATGTATAAAATATTTATTATCAATGATCACAGCTTTAAGTATGATATATTAGTTAATGAAGTACTGTAAAAATGATACTTTTTAAGACAAATCTATGATGTAAAAAATTATGTGATATCAAATCAATGATTTTTTAAATTAAATATTTCTAAATCATTTCAACCATGTTTTTTTTTATTTTTCTTGGCATTTTTCGCTGTTCTTAAAGAAAAACTTGTTATAAAACTATTAAACAGTACGGGGCTGCCCTGAATTTTCGCCCAACTCGCCTGCCCTTAATCATTGCCCGGGTTATCCCTCATTTTAAAATATTCGAAAAAATTATTTTACATAAAAATAAACGAAGTTGCCAAATGAGCGATAGTTTGGCGATGTTATCAAAAGATTCCTTCTCTCTTTAGATACTATTCAGAAGTACATAATTTCACTTTCACTTTAAGCTGACGATATTTATTTCAAATATAATAACAAACCGAATTGTTACAAATAAGTGGTTTATTATCGAAATATAAGATGGTACTATCGTCTACTAGAAACGGTAAGCCTTGATTTTTTATTTAAACCATAATTTATTTCATTGAAATGAAAATTGATGGAGTAAAACTCCTGTCAGTAAATGTTATTGCTTTACACCCTGATATGTATCGAAACCTTTGCCTTAAATAAACTTAAACATTAAGTTAAATAAAATTACAATTTATTTTATTACATAAAAGTTTATTATATTGAACTAAATTGTATTTGTATTAGATTAACAAAAATATTTTTAATGTCTGCCTTGATTTCACAAGCAATATTTCAATTATCAATCTAAAAACTAAACATAGAAGTAGTGGATTACTCAATTGCGTATTTTATGTAGCTATTGCATACATATTTTGTTTCTTGTTTTGGTATTAGCACTTTAGGTATATTTAAGTATGTCAGACTTATAAATATAGTATACTACAGTCCTTAATATTTATGTGTATATTTGTAACGTGCTAATTGTTACAACGCAATTCAGTACTGGTTTCTAATATTTCTCCTAAATTTCAATTTAGGGAAAATCGTTGTAAACAATTTTAAACACGCTCCAAAACTATACAAAATAGAATTTTTTAATTTTCGGCAGAGTTAAAGTTTCTGCCCCTCAATGTAATAAATTTTAAGTCCTATTTTTTAATCGAGTACCTTAAAATGTTTATAATAAATATTATTCATTTCGAGCTGTTATTATCGAGCATAACAGGGAAGAAGAATCTAAAAAAAGGAATTTTAAACTGTCTTCCCTACTTTTTATAAAAAATTATTTTTATAAATAAATATATAATGAAGTGCTTGAGCAACATTTTCAAAATTTTTACTATCTTCAGAAACAAAGCATAAGGGGGATGCACTATCTCTATATGATATAATAAATGTTTAAAAATTAGTATTTCAAAAATTTTGCTTCCGTTTTCAAATTATCGAGACTCTAATATAGAACATTAATCAAATCATACTTTATTCAAAATTTATATTAGGAAAGAAAATTTCCCCCCAAAAAAATTTTTTTGAGCATTTTTAAATAGACAAATGAATTTTATAGCTTCGAGTAAAATAGAAAAGGATAAACTGCAACTAAAATTCTTAATATCACTAATAATAAAAAGGCTAATATTATTATTTAATTATAGCAAACTAATTAATTAATAAAGTCAGTTGTTATCTTTTAATGAAACTAAAAACATTAATAAATTGTAAAGACATAGAACCAACTTGGCAAATGAAAAGTAAACTAATTTAAATCAGAAAAATAAATTATTCATGCCTGAACAAGTCTTTATTCTTTATTTACAAATAAACTTTAAAATTGCTTTTATTTTAATAAATGTGCATAAAATTAATTGGGTATAACTGGAATATATTTCTTGATAATAAAACAGCAAATTATTTTAAATTTAAATATGAAAATGACATGAAATGAATTATGAAAAATTATAATTTGCAAGTTATATTCTTATCAACATTTCAGCTCTTAAAGAAAGAGATATTTTGTTTTTTGATGTATTTACTTATTTCTTGATTCTACGAATAAAATATTTATTATCAATAATCACAGCCTTAAGTAGAATATATTGATGAAGTAGTACTGTGAAAATAATGCGTTATAGGCAAATCTGTGATGTAAAAAATTAAGTGATTCAAATCAATGATTTTTTTAATTAAATAGTTTTAAATCATTCCAGCCCTGCTTTTTATTTTTCATGACATATTTCACAGTTCTTAAAGATTGCCCTCCACTTACTTACAAATCGGCTATAACTGGAATTTTTAATAAAATTAATTTCCGTGACAAAAAAGTTGCAAAAAAAGTTGCAAAAAAAGTTCCAAGTTGTTATTTTAAAAATTACCCTCTTAATATACAGGAACATTAATTGCAATGAATTTTACATTTGAAAATATAAATTATAATAAGTCGTATGAATTATATGTCCAAAGAAGAGTAAAAATATATCCAAGATTTAGCAAATGTAGAAAAACTGATAGTAAAATTATTAATAAGTTCGGAATTTTTAGCGGCTCTGAATATTAGGGATCCTCTGCGGACACCCAACTCGCCTACCCTTATTCACGGCCCTGGTTATCCCTTATTTTAAAATATTCGAAAAAATTATTTTGCTTTCGTTACGCAAAAATAAACGAAGATGCCAAATGGGCGATTATTTGGCGATATTATCAAAAGATTCCTTCCATCTATAGATACTATTCAGAAGTACATAATTTCAGTTTCACTTTCACTTTAAGCTGAAGATATTTATTACAAGTTTAATAACATACCGAATTGTTACAAATAAGTGGTTTATTATCGAAATATAAGATGGTACTATTGTCTGCCAGCAACGGTAAGGCTTGATTTTAGTTTTAACCTTAATTTATTTCATTAAATTGATGGAGTAAAACTGCTCTCAATTAATGTTATTTTTTACACCCTGATATGTATAAACTTTTACCTTAAATAAACCTAAACATTAAGTTACATAAAATTACAATTTATTTTATTAAATAAAAGTTTATTATATTAAATTAAATTGTATTAGATAAGCAAAATATCTTTTATGTCAACATTGATTTTATTAATAATATATCAATTGTCAGTCGAAAAACTAGACATAGATGTAGTGGATTACCTAATAACGTATTTTATGTAGCTTTTGCAAACATATTTTGTTTCCTGTTTCAGTATTAGCATTTTAGGTGTATTAAAGTACTTCAGACGTAGAAAAATACAGTCTACTACTCTCCTTTTTTTAATGTGAATATTCATAACGTGCTAATTGTTACAACGCAAATGTGTACTAGTTTCTGTAATTTCTTCTGAATTCTAATTTCGGGAAAATCATTGTTAACAATTTTAAATGCTCTTCCAAATTATACAAAATGGAAATTTTCTATTTTTATAAAAATTGGAATTTGTTAATGTTAACAATTTTAAGTTTTTTTTTTTCTGAATTGAAACTTTGAAAATATATATAACAATTATTTTTCATTTTCAGCCCTTATTATCGAGCTTAATAGAGAAGAATAATCTAAAATACGAATTTTAAACAGCTTTTCACACTTTTTATAAAAATATATGTTTATAAATAAATATATAATGAAGTGCTTGAGCAACATTTTCAACAAAACATAAGGGGACTCAGTCTCCGTATGATATTATAAATGTTTAAAAATCAGTGTTTCAAAAATTTTGCTTCAGTTTTCAAATTATCGAGACACTAATATAGAACATTTATCAAATCATATTTTATTCAAAATTTATATTAGGAAGGAAAATTTCACAAAAACAATTTTATTTGTTGAGCATTTTTAAATAGACAAATGAATTGAAAACGGAAAAGGATAAACTGCAACAAAAATTCATAATACCACTAATAATAAAAAGGCTAATATTGTTATTTAATTATTGCAAACTAATTACTTAATGAATAAAGTCAGTTGTTATTTTTTAATAAAACTAAAAACATTAATAAATTGCAAAGACATGGAACCAACTTGGCGAATGAAAAGTAATCTAATTTAAATCAGAAAAATAAATTATTCATGGCAGAATGAGTCTTTATTCTTTATTTACAAATAAGTTTTAAAATTACTTTTATTTTAATAAATGTGTATAAAATTAATTGGGTATAACTGAAATATATTTATTGATAATAAAATAGCAAATTATTTTACATTTAAATATGAAAATGGCATGAAATGAATTATGAAAAATTATAATTTGCAAGTTATATTCTTATCAACATTTCAGCTATTAAAAAAAGAGATATTTTGTTTTTTTGATGTATTTACTTATTTCTTGATTCTACGAATAAAATATTTATTATCAATAATCACAGCCTTAAGTAGAATATATTAATGAAGTAGTACTNTTTGTTTTATTTACTTTTATGACTTACTTTGATTGCGCGCGCCTACTTTGATCAAAGTACTTTGATCGTGTCAACCCGCCTTCCTTCTCTCTATACGTACTATTCAGGGTACATAATTTCACTTTCACTTTAAGCTGAAGATATTTATTACAAGTTTAATAACATACCGAATCGTTAGAAATAAGTGGTTTATTATCGAAATATAAGATGGTACTATTGTCTGCCAGCAACGGTAAGGCTTGATTTTAGTTTAAACCTTAATTTATTCATTAAAGGGAAGATTGATTGAGTAAAACTGCTCTCAATAAATGTTATTTTTTTACACCCTGATGTGTATAAACTTTTGCCTTAAATAAACTTAAACATTAAGTTACATAAAATTACAATTTATTTTATTAAATAAAAGTTTATTATATTAAATTGTATTAGATAAGCAAAATATCTTTTATGTCAACATTGATTTTATTAGTAATATATCAATTGTCAGTCGAAAAACTAAACATAGATGTAGTGGATTACTCAATTACGTATTTTATGTAGCTTTTGCATACATATTTTGTTCCCTGTTTCAATATTAGCACTTTAGGTGTATTTAAGTACTTCAGACGTAGTAAAATATAGTCTACTACTCTCCTTTTTTTTATGTGGATATTCATAACGTGCTAATTGTTACAACGCAAATCTGTACTAGTTTCTGTAATTTCTTCTAAACTCTAATTTCGGGAAAATCATTGTTAACAATTTTAAATGCTCTTCCAAATTATACAAAATAGAAATTTTCTATTTTTATAAAAATTGGAATTTGTGCACCTCACGTCAATGTCATTTTTAAGTCTTTTTTTTTTTTTCGGAATTGAAACCTTGAAAATATATAACAATTAATTTTCATTTTCAGTTTTTATTATCGAGCTTAATAGTGAAGAATAATCTAAAATACGAATTTCAAACTGCCTTTCCTACTTTTTATAAAAATATATGTTTATAAATAAATATATAATGAAGTGCTTGAGCAATATTTTCAAAATTTTCTGGAGAAAGTTTTTTAAGTGTAATTTCCTTGCGAAAAAATACATGAAGGTGCTTATAGCTAATATGTTGTTATCTAATGAAACTATTTAACTATCGATATAGAAACAATATTAAGAAACAGTTTGAAAAAATTTAATCTCTATGAAATATAAGTCATAACACTATGTTACCCTAAACCTTTCAAACAATTTATTGCTTTTTATCTTATCTAATGATTTTTGAAACAATTTGATTTTATGTATCCTTTCTGATCTTCAGTCTTATTTTAATTATACTTTAAAAATTTTAATTATGTTTTAAAATTTTGTTCCTTTATTTAAACTTTCAGCTTTTAACTCAATAAATTAATATGAAAAATTTTTTTGTTATGATTATGTTGGTAAATTCTTTTAAAAATTAAGGATGAAAATAAAAAACCAAAAATATATTTTTAAAAGTAAAGTACCTTTTTTATAATAAATTCCACTAGGTAACTTTTATTTACCACTGAAATATTTAATATTTAAAAGTTATATTTGAAGTTGAGTTTGCACAGCTTATATGTATTTATTATAAGCCTATTTCAAGCCCTCAATTCAATCAATTTGTGTTAATATCCTTTGCATAATTATTGTGTAATGACGACGAAGGTGAAAATATTTAGAGAATTATTCACAGTGAAGAAAAAATATTTAATTATTTTTTGTTATTTTAGATCTTTGAATTTGGCACTCACAGAATATTATTTGAGCTTTTGCTTTAAAAAAAAAAGAACAAAAAAACTACCGCATTTGGTTACTTTTTTTTAAAAATTTTCATTGAGTAAGAGTTTGCAGTTAATACAATACGACTTTGCATTATATATACTAATTTTTAATTATAAACTTCTTACAATTATCCATTATAATATTATTACCTTGCTCGCATCCATTTTCGGGCCAATCCTTGGTCCCTAACAAATCGAACGAGCTTCAGTACAGCAGTGAGAATGAGCCATAAAAGAAATCCCTATACTTGCATTTTTAACTCCCTTTGGGCTTCTGTTTTCATTTCTTATAATCTGGCAATCTTGTTGCGAAAATATTTTAATTCATTAACATTTTATCCTGAGAAAATCATTTATCCTGGAATTCATTATTATTAATATTTTTTTTGTTGTGAATTTGGCGTCCCTCTGTGAGGCTGCTCGTGGGGGGTTGTCCCCCTTCCCCCCCCCCTTTCAGCTTGCTATGCTACTGCAAGAGAAGGAGGAAAATGATTATATTAGAAGCTAAATTTTTTAAGTAAAAAATGTAAAACAAAAATTATTTAAGCTCATCTCCCTAATCACATTTAAATGACAGAAATATTTTGTATTAATTTTCATTAAAAACAGATTAGTAGGCAGAGTTTCTAAAGCTTTCACTTGATAGTTAGGAAGTTACACGGTTTGGCAACTTTCTGAACTCTACCTGTCAACTCCTTTTAACAAAAATTTTGACTGTAAATATTTTTATTGTTCGTTGTTAAAATTTTGTTGATAAATTATGTGATTAAAAGCTTGAATATCTAGAAAAAAAGTTCTTAAAATTGCAAAAAATAAAGAAAAAAAATCTGGAAAATTGCATTAGTTTTTGTATTAATTTGATGGTAGAAATACTTCCAAAATTTCCCTCCTTTCTAGAACTATTCACTTTTGTAGTCTCCCAAGTATAAATGTGGAGGCTAGGATAATTATTTCCGTTGAAGTTTAGTAGCTCTTCGCGAGAAAGTTTGGAAAATTAACTGTAAGAGGCTTAAGAGGAAGCTATGCAGCAGGAGAAACTTTTCATGGCAAATTCTGTTTCGCCTCCAATGGAACTTCTAAATAAAGAGAAAAGGGAGTTCAGGGAAACCTAGAGTAAAGCAAGAAATTCAAAATGCGGAAAAATTATTTTCAAAATACAAATAAATTATTGCAAGATACTTTCCCACTGTGAAATCCTGAGTAAACTAGAAACTTGGTACTTTCCCACTGCAAAATCCTAGATGAACCAGAAACCTGGTACTTTCCCACTGTGAAATCCTGAGTAAACCAGAAACCTGGAACTATCCCTCTGCGAAATCCTGAGTAAACCAGAAACCTAGTACTTTCCCACTGCGAAATCCTAAGTAAATCAGAAACCTGGAACTATCCCTCTGCGAAATCCTATGGCAAAAAAACTGATCCAGGTGATTTTTGACCTCATTTTAAGTAAAGGTATTACCGTCTAAATCTCGTACAGCATTTGTACCTTTTCGTTAGTAAAAAGTAAAATATGCCAAAAATGCTGCTTTTCATTTTCAATCAGTCTTGAAAATGCTTTTCATTTCATTCTAAGAGTCAAACAGAAAGTACTGCGTAAAATCAATCGAACTTTTTATCGAATAAAAGCTTTCCAAATTCATTATGATTATACTACTTGAGTGTGAAATTTACTGCGAAAACTAATCTATTGGATTTAAAAAATAAAAATAAAAACGAAAATACTTTTTTAACTTAACAAAACCGCGACAGCACTGTTTTGTGAGTGCGTGCGTTATTTTTTTCTGTTGACTAGTATTATGAAAATATTTCAATTAAGTATTCCTAAATGAAAACTAATAAAGATGATTTTCTTTGAAAGCTTCACCGGAAGAAGAACAAGAGCCATGGCAGACGAAAGTTATTTCACTTGCTGACGGTATTCGCCACATATGTGCAAATGAAGAATTTTACGATGTTATATTTAATGTTAGAGGTCATAAATTCAAGGGTCATCGTCTTATCCTAGCAGCTATGAGTCCCAAATTTAAAAATATGCTTCTCAAACCTGACTCTCCTAGTGAATTCCATGATTCAAGTTCTATAATTGGATTTCAAATTTTATGGAGGTAAGCTAAATTGTGTCCTAAAAACTGACGGACATTAAAAGACATTTTATTAGCAAGTTTGTTTGATAGGACATACATTTATCTTCACAGAGTTACTGTTTTCCGATAGATGTCCTTGCGAAATCTTTTAAGCAATCAATATCACATTATAATATTTTTGAAATGTTCATCATAAGCCATTATTTTTGGAGAATGAAATTGGCACAGGTAACAAAAAAAAAAACTGCGAAAAGGAGACTTGCATATAGAAAACTTTATTAACTAAGGATTCTGTGATGGCACTAATGTCCTATCTCGTGAATTTCCCCCGTAGGAATTGTTTTTAAAACATTTTAATCCTTAAACAGTTGACTGTTATAATTTTTTGAAAACCCTCGGTCTGATCTAGGAAGCCTGGAAATTATAGATCAGGGGTTTCCAACTTACATGAGGCCAGGGGCCACAATTAAAAACACAAATCAAGTGGCCGCAACTTTATCAAAATTTTATGTAGGACTCTTTTATGTTTAAAGGAACATTAAATATTACTGTCCGATTTTTGCCAAGTTGTACAAAACAAAAGTATTGAATTACAAATTAAAATAAGAAGTAGATTTTTAAAAATATTTGATTGCATACTAAAAAAATCGGGCTACAATAACTTTCATGTGCACCCATGTATTAAGCAATTAATGTGCAACAGATATCTAATTGTTAAGATATAAGACTTTGAAAAGGTTGGTATTTAAACTTACATAGTAGCACACAAAATGTTCAATGACAAAATTCAGGTTTGTCTGCTGCAACCACCAGAGAATAAATATTTACATATTAAATTTACAAATGTGTGTGTAAATATTTTCGTCCAAAATGAGTGGTTTCAAAAAGTTAAATCGAAGAATTTCTTCGAGAAAATTTCTGATACACACATGCTAAATTATATTCGCAAAATACAAAAAAATGAAATAAAGAAAAGCAACATACATGATTATTTATGTATTTGAATAAATATTTTCTTGGATGCAAAACCTGAGAAATAATTTTTATTTGCACCGTTGGTATGATAAATTTCACAGAAACAAAGAAATTAGGTTTTTATTAACTAGAAAAGTATTTTAAACCCATATATATTTTTTACGAAAATTGTCAGCAAAAAAATGACAACTAATATATTTTAGTTTGCGGGCCACAAAAAAGTCTTCGCGGACCGGATGCCCGGTCCGCTAGTTGGAAACCACTGTTATAGATCTCGAATTTGAAGCCGGGATAGCTTGGTTGGTAGGGCGTTGAACCCATGTCCAAAAAGTTATGAGATGTGTTTCATCGATACCTCCAGAAATTGTACACGATGAATTGACGCGACTCCCACCCTCAGTGATGACTCCAGGTTCGATTCTCAGAAATGTTTGTTTGTTGTTTGTTGTTAATTTACGTCGCACTAGAGCTGCACAATGGGCTATTGGCGACGGTCTGGGAAACATCCCGGAGGATGATCCGAAGACATGCCATCTCAATTTTGATCCTCTGCGGAGGGGATGGCACCCCCGCTTCGGTAGCCCAACGACCTGCACGCGAAGTCGAGCACTTTACGGTAGCACAGTTTAACGAGGACCAATACCGCACACCCTCGGTCCCTACGCAGACTGATCCAAGTGGGTCACCCACCCGCACACTGACCGCAGCCGGTGATGCTTGACTTCGGTGATCTGCTGGGAACCGTGTCTTAACGATCAGTCCACTGCGGGACCTCAGAAATGGCTAGTAAATTAGCATGTTGCTTTTCGTCAGCTTCAGTGCGAACGTAAACTATTCTTAGTGGTAGATGGATCACGAACCTTACGAAGTCGGGCTAAGCATGGGAATTATTCGTGGGTTTTTCTTTTTTTCATCATGCAAATGAAGCACATTTAAGCATTGTTAATAGTCGAAATTCCGAGCTGTTTAACACCGTTGATAAAATAAAATTAAAAAAATATTAAATATTCATTTAATTAAATTATTAAGTTTTAAATATTTCTCATAGAATACTTTTTACAATATTCTAATAAAACATTTGTTAAATAATGATTATGTTTTATAGATTTATTTACACTGATGAATTGGGAACTACAAAACAAAATGAAATACTGGAAGCTTATCGAGTGGCTAAGGCTTTTGAGCAGTCACAACTAGTTGAAAAGTGTGAGGAAGTTATTGGATCTATGGAAATATCTGTGGAAAATGTTTCCTCTATGCTCAATCAAGTGCCTGATATTGATTTGTTGAGAGAACGGTGTCTTCAGTTCATCAGTCTGAACAATGTTGATGTGTTAAATTCTGCTGATTTTCTGAAGGCTACGCCTAATACACTTCAAGATATTTTTAGGCACAATTGTCTTGCCGATGTAAGTTGTATTCATTAAACTTTTCTTATGTGCTAACTCACAGTTGAAACGCTATATCGAGTATCTTATACTCCAAAAGCATTTGTGCTAGGTTTCTGAAATTTAGAAATTCAGAACTTCGATTCGTGATTACGTAAATAATTTTAATTTACTTTTGTCGTTATCTTCGAATGCAAATAATCATGAACTACTATTACAAGTTATTTTGATAACAGATAAATATATCATGATTATAATAATAGTTATTACTCGTCGTTTTGAATCTCAAGTTGTATATGTTACGGTGAAACACCGAAATCTGGAGAATGTCGACATTCACCGGTGAATGTCAACATTCACGTAGTCGCTTCGTGTATATCCGAAATATTTGCTAAATACCCTTATTTCTGACTCTCACCGGTAAATGCCAACAATCACATAGTCGCTTTGGTGAATGTCCGAAATATTCGTTATATCCAATTTTATATTAATTTATTCGTTAATATTATTATATTTGTTTGATATATTTATTCTATATTTTAATACTTACTGACGATAGATTAGAAGAAACATCAGTGTTTGGAGTATCGGGCAAATATATACCGGCCAATGGCACTTGATCTTAAAAAAACATCAGTTAGGGATATACCGGGCAAATGTATACCGGGCAGTGGCACTTAACCTTAAAAAAACATCAGTGTTGTAGGGTATACCGGGCAAATGTGTACCGGACAGTGGCACTTAACCTTAAAAAAAACATCAGTGTAGAGTTAAAATATCGAATAAATGTAATTATATCCACGAATAAATTCGTATCAAATCGAATGTAATAAATATTTCGGACATTCACCAAAGCATATCTGTGATTGTCGACATACACCGGTGAGGGTCCGAATGTAATGAAATATTCGATCTTTCACCGACGTATTTGGTGTTTGTCGACATTCACCGGTGAAAGTCAACAACCACCGACTTCGGTCTTTCGCCGTGACATATACATTAATTCTATTCTAGCATTAAACATAGTTTCATATTGACATAGATGTTTTGCTGTAAAATTTTAGCATTTAAGAATCCGAAACGAGTACTCTACTGCTTTACTGGAGTATCCAAAAGGTATGGAAATATAGGTTACTTCAAAAAATGTTAAAAAACACGGGTCATAATTACTTGTAGTCACTATTACCTTGCAGTTATAATCGTAAATTATAATTATCTTTAGTCTTAATTACCAGTAATTTGTTATTTTCTAATCATAAAGTAAAATATAAACTCTTTTGTAATCCTATGTCTTTGTCTTAGTTTTAACGAAAAACGGGTAAAGCGCTTAAATATTGTTGTAATTTTCAAATTATTTTATCTCATTTAATGTTATTTAGAAAAATTTCAGATATTATGAACATTAATTTGATATTCTTAAGAGTTTATATTTTAATCGATTTTTAGGTTCCTATTCTGACACTTCAGAGCAACATCCTACGTTGGGGCTGCAATCAGTTTCCTGAAATGGAAGATTATAAGCTTGTAAGAGACCTTCTGATGAATATAAGGGTCCTTGGAAAATTGAAAATACATAAGTTAAAGGCGGAGGATTTAGCTGAATTAACGATTCAATATCCCGAGCTCTTAACTTCAAAGGAATATCAAAAGTTCAACGTTCACGTTTTTAGGCCAGACTACCCTTTGCCTGAATGGTGTGATTTAAATGATTAAGAAAATTTTTCTGACGATTCACCTCATTTTTGTTAGTTTTGATAAATATTAGATGTAGTGTAATCTTTATTATAATAGATATCTTGCCTGTGGAATATTTTTTTCTCTTTATGTAATTAATTTCATGTTTGTTCTTATTTTATGATAAAAATATATCATGCTATGTTACAGTTTGCTTGTACCAGTTATTATCAGGATTAATAAAAGAATTTAATAAAAAATTAAAATACTTTAAATTTCTTTATTTGAGGCAATAATTTTAAATTATTTTGCTGTTATTATATATATACAGGTATGGGACAAAATAATAGGAACACCTGTACATAGTATCACTATGCACAGGTGTTCCTATTATTTTGTCCTATACCTGTATATATTAGCGATGAAACTTGTTGTCTTGGCCGACTGCTAAAGGCGCACATTTGGCAAGTCCAGGGTCCTGAGTTCGATTCTCTAAATTCTCCTGATTTCTAACAAGACTTCAAAGGCATTTTAATAAACACAAATAAATTAAGATTTGAGTTATTATTTTGGAATGTTCTAGAACATTCCCTTACGTCATTTCCGTTTACCTAATTACACTGTATCCAGGGCCTGATTACCGAAAAGGCATAGGAAGCAAGTGCTTCCCCTGTAAAATTCTAGGGGGGCCCCCCAAACGACTGAAATTAAGGGCCCAATTTCTTATTTTTGAAAATGTACTAGTGACTTATAACTGCACTAGTGAACGTTCATTTTCTGTATTGAAAAGAATAAAAAATCGGTGGAGATCAACTCTTTCAAATAATAAATTAAGTAGTTTAGCCCTTTTGGGCAAAAGAGAGCGATATTACAAATAGGTTACAATTTGCAGATATTATTGAAGGTTTTGCGAATTTAACAGCGAGAAAAAAACATATGTAATGGTAATAAACCTATGAATTTTCTTATTTCTTTTTTCTCTATCATTGTGCTCAAATTAATTTTACTCTGCTTTTTATTGTTGAACTAAACACACAAGACTTTTAAATAACTATCAGTACGAAAAATATTTTTGTTTCATGTTTGAAAATTATTTGGTATGATTTTTCTGGTGCAGTAACAATAATTTATGCTGAATTAGAATTTTGTGTTGTTCTGCCACTAGTAAACGAATTGGCGTAAAATAAGAGACTAATCTTGCAAAGAACCTTTCGTATAACAACAAGTAATTTTATAATTTAATTTATTGGAATATTTAAATTTTGTTAACATGTTTTTGTAAGCACGTAAAGAAAAGCACGTAAAGAAGGGCCCAACATGATTGCATGTATTCCTTTCTAAGGTTCTAATAGTTTTCACATGGTTCTTGTCTCTTTAAAATGTATTGTTTATGGGCGAAAAATATCAAAAATTTCTTTTGCTCAAGTTAGGGGGGCCCCAAAATTATATTATGCTTCCCCTATTTTCAGAGGTTAATCGGGCCCTGACTGTATCTAAGTTATCGCCTTTCATGTTCTTTGTATTCTAGATGTTTGTTAATAAATCTGTTCTACTTGCTTGCGCAAATTCTATTCTTTCTACGCGACAATATTGACTTATTACAAAACTTATCATGTTTGAATAAAATTAATACTTTACTAGTTTAGAAAAAATTATTAGGCTTTCTTGCAATGAATTAAATAAAATGACTTAGTGAATTATTTTTAAGAAATTATAGCATACCATTACTTGTGACTTTTATTTAAAAAAAGCAAATATTAATAATAAATAAACGTACATGATATGAGATTCATGGAAGCTTTTGAGATTCAAGAAAACGAAGTGTTGAATGAAAATATGAATACAATTTATAGAATCTGTGTAAAACCATTGAAATCTTAATGGACCACTTCATTGACGCGCAATTGGTATATCTGTAACATTTGCAGGTGGGCTCCCTCTTCTTGAGTGGCCGAGAAAGGCTTTGATCAATTTCATTCCTATATCAAGAGTATTATCAATTTCAGTTCGAGTTCCCAGCGTAGGATTTATTTCCATAATATCAAGTGCTTTGAAATTCTCTGAAACAAGGATAAATAAATATCACTATCTAATAATATCTGCTAGTGTAAGATAAGAATCATAATCATACCTAGGTTTGCTATCTCTTCTGCTAAACAGAATGCTTCTCTTGTAGTTAATCCACCAACAACTAAAGTAAAGGGGGGAAAATATGGGATTTTTTTTTTTAAAAAATTTTTATTTTTGGCAAAGAATTTCTGTAGAACTGCGTACAATCGTTTCTCATGAGATGAGACCATTCATTGTGAATGATAAATACAGGAAAACGATAAATGCGGGACAACATAAAATATTATGTAATGACTTGCAAATGTATGTTAAATAATAAAAAAGTAATGAACTTTAAAATGAATAAGTTTACTATAACAGGGTGCGTAGCGTTTTTAAAAAGTGCTTAAAGGTGCTTATTTTCGATTTTTGTTTTTTAAAAGCCCTTAAAGGTGCTTTTTTCATTGGGCGTTTTTAAAAAGTGCTTAATTTTCCCTTTTTCAAAATGAGATTTTTCCTTTACTATGTTGATTTTCGCTTCGAATTATGCAAAAAGACACAGTTAACATTGTTCTTTCTATTCAACGTTTTCATTATTAATTCAACCCCAATCTATTTCAGTGTATAGTCAGTCTGTAGCGTATGAAAACGTCATTCGTTTTAGCAGGGGCCCCCACCAGGGGGGGATTTAGAATGCGCCCAAGAGCTTGGGGGGGGATGGGGGCTACTGCGCTTTACATAATTCAAAATTTCATGATTTTTGACAGTTGTCAGAAACAATGCAAAAAGTTTTTTTTTTTTTGACATGGCGGTTAAAACAAGATAAAACCGTCGATTGTCAAAATCTTTCCAACCCTGCCTAATTTTGATATTTTTTGAGTGCTTAAAAGGTGCTTATTTTTTGTTGAATTATTTTACTAAGCACCCTGTATAAGTATAAAAGAAATATTGCAAAATTATGCCCATAATTTAAAAAATAGTTTAGATGCAAAAGAAAAACACATTTATTTATTTAAAGTATTCTAAAATTTTGGTTTGAATAAAAAATTTTCTCCTCATCACAAAAAAAATCAAATAAATTTTTGACATTTATAACACATTAATGTTTCTTTTCTGTAAACTGGCATGAATACAGAATATTGCTCAGTGTTTGAAAAGCTTTAAAGACTTCTGCCAATCTTGTCACTGGTTGTTCTTTCCTTTTCGGCTTCTTCATCAGTATCATTTTAACACTTAGAACATTTTTAGCTTTTACAACCGTTTCTTGAATCAACAACACTGTAATAAATCCTTATTTTCTTCATCATTAGCTTCAAGAGTCAATACTTTTCTTCTCAGAACGAAAAAAACTTCGAAATTTTTAAATGCCAATAAAATTTTTGAGCGATAGATGCGGGAATTTGCTAGTTTCAAAAACGATCTAATTAATTTCGAAATATTGTTATAAAGTTTCATTTCACATATATTGTATATTCTCTTTCCAATCTGGTTCTATTCTTTATCATAAAAGCATGGGTTAGACAAAATTTCGTTAAGGTATCACTCTTAGTAACTGTATATATCTTATATATAAAAGAAAATATTTTTTAATAAAATATTTTTAAAAAAATATTTTTTAAACTTATTTTTGGAGCATTTCTATAATGAGTAAAAATTTAATAACACAGTAATAGTTGAATTGGGATTAACTTACCTGGCGTTCCTGTACTAGGAGCTTCTAGCTTACAAATAGCGTCAATGTCAAAGCTAACATGAAGCGACAATTTACCGCTATATTAATGAAAAGAAAGAATCATTATTTTCTTGTAAAAACATTTAATTGAAAGTGTAAAATTCGGAAATACTTTCGATTTCAACACCCAAAAAAAAAAAACTAACTAAAACAGTAAATGTGCAAGTTTAATAATTGTAAATAAAAATGTTTTAGACTGCGATTTTGAAGGAATAAGAAATTTTAACCAACAACGGAAAAAAAAATCAAAAATAGTGAGCGGTATAAAATTTTAAATAAAATAGACAAAGATATGTAAACGTAATAATGTATCTTTAATTGATGCAGAAAACTCTTTTACGAAAAGTAGGTTAAGCTGAGCAAGATTTTTAAACTCTAAATTGTTACTTTTTTTTCTTTTGGATTAAATTCTTGCTTTATTCCACAATTCATTTAACCCTTTGACGCAGATGGCACGCCGTTGTCCTTGTCATATATTTTTTTGTCGTACTAATTGCAAGCAATAATATATTTTGGTTATTAAAAACATGTTTAATAAAAATTCTGCGTCAAAGCGTTAAAATCTCACTGAGTTCGTGCAGAACTGTAACATAAAATTAAAGATATTCACTTCTTTTTTATTTAAATCAAGATAATGTTAACGGTGGGCAGTGTAGTATTATTTTCAAAAGGTAAAATAACTAGGGGAATAAACTGCGTGAGCTTGCCGGTTATTATTATTTTACCTATACATTAACCACCAGTAATTTAAAAATAAAGGTGGAAAGGTAATTAGATTTTTCACTAACTTATTTTATTTATAAAGCTTATTCAACAAATTATATTTATTTTTTACTTTTAATACTTCTAGATCACCTATTTCTCGATATAAAATGGTTCATCTATATCAGGGTTTTCCAACTTACATGAGGTCGGGGGCCACAATTAAAAACACAAATCAAATGGCGGGCCGCAACTTTATCAAAATTTTATGTAGGACTTTTTTTATGTTTGAAGGAACCTTAAATATTACTGTCAGATTTTTACCAAGTTGTACAAAACAAAAATATTGAATTACAAATTAAAATAAGAAGTAGATTATTAAAAATATTTAATTGCATACTAAAAAATTCGGGCTACAATAACTTTAATGTGCACCCATGTTTTAAACAATTACACAATCAGACAACAGATATCTAATTGTTAAGATATAAAGCTTTAAAAAATTTGGTGTTAAAACTTACATAGTAGCACACAAAATGTTCAATGACAAAATTAAGGTTTGTCTGCTGCAACCACCAGAGAATAGATATTTTTCATTTTAAATTTAAAAATTACAAATGTGTGTGTAAATATTTTCGTCCAAAATGAGTGGTTTCAAAAAGTTAAATCGGAAAATTTCTCCGAGAAAATTTCTAATGCACACTTGCTAAATTATATTCACAAAATACAAAAAAATGAAATAAAAAAGAGCAACTTGCACGATTATTTTTGTATTTGAATAAATATTTTCTTAGATGCACAATCCGAGAAATAAATTTTTTTCACCGTTGGTATGTTATAACAGAAAGGAAGAAATTATGTTTCTATTACGAGAAAAGTATTTTAAACCCATATAGAGTTCTTACGAAAATTGTTCGCTAAAAAATGACAACTAATATATTTTAGTTCGCGGGTCACAAAAAAAGGCTTCGCGGCAGGGCCGGATTAAGACCTCTTGAGGCCCTAAGCACTGAAAATATTTTGGTGCCCCCCCCCTCTGACAATTAAAAATATATCTAGTATTAAGTCACGTGTTAATTCAAAATATAAAATCAAATTTTTTTGCAAAAAAAAATTTTTTTTATTCAAATTAAATGAAAAAAATTAAAATAATAGAATCAATTGAAAACTTTTCAATCAATATTAAAAAAAAAAAAACTTACGTTTGTGTGTATGTACAATGTGCAAAAAAGCAAACACTCTGAATAACTTATGATCGAAAATTTGAACTTTTATATACTAAGACTCAAAGTACTTTAAATTAGAAAAACAGACACGTACCTTTTTCTAAAAAAAGCATACCTTTTTTTCCCAACTGATTCGAATTCTTGACTCTCGAAATAAATAGCCATACCTCGAGATTTTTTCAACCGAACTAAAAAATTTTAACACACAGTTATAAAATTCGTTTACCTAAAAATAGTTCCTTGTCAAAAATAATTTTTACGAAGTATTAATCATTTTATATTATTTTATTTATTAAGAGAATAGTCGACAGAGCTTTAAATTGAAAATTTAGCATCTGTTATTTTAAATGACAAAATACAAAATTTAATATGTACTAAATCAATCAAATAAACCTGAATCATTCAATTTTAAAAAAGTTATATATTTAACATTTAATTTCTCAAGAACTTTTCGACAGATTTTGTTCAAATTTTGTATTTTACCATTTAATATTCCTTAAAATTATATAAAAATTTGTATATTTTTAAATTCAAAATTGTTCCGACTATTAATAATAAATAACTAAAATAAAACTATTTTTGCAGGGAATTATTATTAGGCTAATGAATTTTATTATTAGGTGCAAACATTTTTCAATTCGTTTCAAAAGTTCTCGAGACATGGCGAAATGCATGAAAACTGCAATTAAATAAAGGAACCCAAACTTTCAACCTAAAAAAACTTTCGGGATCTTAATTTCCATATTGTGAATACCATCCATATTTTGAGAGACACATATCCAAATTCAACAACAACATATATATGTAGGTAGAGGAAGCACGTTTGCCTGATTTCATAAATATCTTCTGCGCCAACTAATTCAGGGTGGCCACTCAAAACAGATTTGAAATTTCCCTGATTTTTCCAGGTTTTCCAGGTAAAAATCTTAAAATTTCCAGGTTTGCGTTTTTTTCCTTTTTTCTTATGAAGTGTANTATAATTATGCTTTAGGAAAATTAAACTCTTCACTTTTATTGATTTAGACATAATCAATATTGTTCGATAAATAATAATTATTGATAAAATGATTTGAAGGGTTTAGCTAATACCTGAAGCAACATCAGCTTTACACTATTACAGCATGCTTTCAAAAGCAGTAATTTAGAATAATGTTTTAGCAGAATAAACTTTTTCTGTGTATTATTTTAATTCAGTGAATAAAAAAAATTACTTGACGTAAATTTTTGAAAAAAATTTTTGCAACACAACCGTTACGTAATTTTATGACTTCTCTTCCAGTCGCAATCAGAATATAATTAAAAATATAGTATAAGCAAATATTTTATATAGTATAAACAAAAACATGCACTAAAACTGCAAACATGTATAACATAGTTTTTTTCACATCAAAAATCAAATTTTTTACATCAGGAAATCATTGCATCAAAATTTTGTAAATCAAATTTTTTTTCATAAAAAAATCAAATTGCCGAAGTATTAACTTGCTACAACTGCGAAAAATATTCTGTAAACATGAATCGCAGCAGTATGTTATAGAATCATTGTAATGGATAAATAAATAGAGCTTTTATCGCATAGAATTTCACTACCTAATTTCATTATAAGACCAAACATTTTTGATACAAAACATCTTTCGTTTTTTTCTTTCTTTTATTATGTGAAATTTCATACTAAATGCTTGTTTTCTACTCTTAAAATGAAAGATCAAAATAATAAGTTTATAATCAATGTTTCAAAAAAAAAAATTATGTACTGTGAACATTTAGTTAGGCTTTGTGGTGCCCCCTTATTCTCTGGTGCCCTAAGCACGTGCTTAGTGTGCTTAATGGTTAATCCGGCCTTGCTTCGCGGGCCAGATGCCGTCCCTGGGCAGCCAGTTGGAAACCCCTGTTCTAGATTACCTATTTCTCGATATAAAATGGTTCATCTATATATTGTCAATATTTTTAAATATTTTTCTCAATCTTTTTACCTTAACTAAGTTTTAGTTATTTCAGTTAAATCAGCTGTTATAGTGTCGCATTAAACAAATTATATATACATAATAATTTTCTCTTTTTATTTCATCAAACTTACCTGGGATTAATTGCTTCTAATGCTCGTCTTGTCACTTCGTAAATACCCAGCTTATCTACATCAGCCATGGTGAAATGAAGAATACCTTCTTTCATTAAGATTAATCTGAAAGGTTATTTAAAGTAATATTATACATAAGATAGTGTCCAACTTCGATACAATATTTTAGAATAAATATACAAGACGTTTCAATTTAGGTGCATTCACACTAAGAGTTATGCTTTTAAATTAGTCATTACAGCTTTTTTTTAGTGCTACCCGAGATGACACTTTATTATGAAATTTACATGACAGTTTTGCATAGCTAACAACCCAGCCAGAATATTTAAAGCGAGAGCCAAATAAGAAGGTGAAATAGGATTTTAATTTTGCTTGAAATGCTTCTACACAATATATATATATATATGTAATAATAATAATTATATATATATATATATACATAATAATTTTATATACGTAAAATATATATATACAGGGTGTCCCAAAACGACTGCATAAACTCTACACAGCTAGATTCCTCGTTGGGAGTACATAAAAACTGCCCAAGGAAGCGTTCCTGTACGATCCATAGTTTACGAGAAAAATACAAAAAACAAAGTATGACGTCACTGCCGGTGCAAGAGAAAACACTTTATCGAACATATCAACAGCAGTATAACTATGCTCAATATAAAGCAGAATATGCGCGGCGAACGTTTTAAACATTATCGTCCTGAAAGATATGCAAATACTGTTGTTGATATGTCCATTAAAGTGTTTTTTCCTTGCACCGGCAGTGACGTCATACTTTGTTTTTCTTATTTTTCTCGTAAACTATGGATCGTACAGGAACGCTTCTTCGGGCAGTTTTTATGTACTCCCAACGAGGAATCTAGCTGTGCAGAGTTTATGCGGTCGTTTTGGGACACCCTGTATATATTTATAGCACAATAAAGATAAAAAGAAAAGAGAGAAAAACAAAGAAATTTAATAAGTTTTATTAACTGCGCATAAGCTGCAAATATATAGAACTCATGAAATAAGTTAAAATATCCAGAAAATGTGGAAAATAATAAAGATTTGTGAAAAGAGAAGAAGAAAAATTATTACAATGAAATTATTTTTAAAATATTTAAAAAAAAATTTTTATTTATCTATGAAAAAAAATATTAAAAAAAACTGGAAACAAAATAATGAAAAGATATAATCTTTATTATTTTCCATATTTTCTCAATATTTTAATTTATTTATATATATGCCCTCACTTAAGTGAACCGAAAAAAATTGTCTGTTTACGGGAAAGGTACCCTAATAGCGAAGTTTATCAAAGTAAATTTTTTTTAGAATATTTTTAATGAATTCTACAATTTAGTGGTGGATTGCTTGTTATCAGAGCTTATTATATTACGCTGAGCTCTTACGTTACAGCTGTTATATAAAATTGTGTTCATTTCACGTTAATGATACAGCTTATCAAGTTATCTTAATTCCTTATTAATTTTGATATTAATTAGAAAACTTGGATAACTTTTATGTTATTTAATATTTTAAAAAATTCATAAATTTTAACAGAGTTGATTTATTTCCGAGTCTGGAATTTATTTCCTCACGATGGTATAATGCGAACTAAGTTTCTCACTTCTCTAGAGGATCGATGTCCCTTAATCCGATGTAAGCAAGATTCTCTTTCTTTATCCTGAAAGAAAATACCATTGGTTATTACTTAAGTTTATAAAAATACAGTTAAGAAAATTATGACGAAGATCATAGATATATTTTTTTTAAAAAAAAGGCAGAAAATATTGAAATTTAAAACTATTTCCGAGTAGAAACAAAAGTAATTTTAAACAAAAGTCTTGGAAACGTTCACTTAAATTTCTAGATTTGAGTAAGGGTCTGAACACACAGAAGAATCATAAAATAATTTTTTTTTAAAGAAATTCAGTGATTGCCCACCAATTCTATTCTAGTTTGTTTAGTTATAAAAGTTGGCAGAACTTGAGTCAAAAGAAAATGCGCCTTTTCAAAAATGGGTAAATACACCATATACTAAAAAACTACTGATTTTTAATTAGACTTACATGCATCTAGAACGTAAGTTTTTCTTTACTCCTTTTCTCCAATGAAATATATTTATTATTTACAAATTTTTTTTTTTTTTTGGTCGAAAGATATTTTTTATTCGTTTGGTTAACAATGATGCTCTAGAGCCGAGCTCTAGAGCTACACTATTGGGTTATTGGAAGCAGGACTTTTATAAAGTACAATAAGTAAGATAAAAAAATATTGGGCAACACTGATATACGTAATTAATATATTCACTACATCAATTTCGAATGTGGAATATACATTTATGTATGTTAATATATATTTACTGTTAGAAAATATGGAAAAAATATAAATACCAATTTATATTTACCATTCTTTTTTAATAATATTATTCTCAGTTATTATTACGATTTTACTTTTGATTATTATTCTATATTAAATGTAAAAACTGAAAGTAGTGTTCTTTTTTACATTATAAAGTAATCGGATAATATTAATTTATTACGCAACATTCTATGATTAAAATATATGATAACATTTTATGATAAACATATTTGTTCAATGTTTTACAATTATTAAATAGTAAATATGGAATATTTAAACAATAATAAATTTTTTTTTTAAACTTTTCCCGTTAACCTATGCAATTAAAAGAAAAAATAGGCAATAACTAAATTCAAAATTTTAAAGCTACATTAGGTTAATTTTTCTCTCTAGTGTTAAATAATCTCTATGGCAAAAAGCATTTAACAAGTTTTTAAGTAACATAAAATTAAATACGAATTAAAAAACCAGTAGGTAGTCCAGTAAAATTATGACATTTAAATATTATCCCTATAGAATCAGGAACTTAATATCTGCGATAGTACAATAAAATTCTTTGGAACTGGTGTCTTTTATTGGTCAATTTTTATTTTTGAAATAACAATCTGTTTATTGTCGATAAACAAAATTGACTACGTTATGATCCTGTAGGTTAGTGAGCGAAGCGAAACGGTGACCGGAGTCTCAAGTACTGCAATATAATATATTCAACTGCTGTTTTTATTATTTTTCATTTTGTGTATTTGAGATAATTATGCAAATAAGATCAACTTAATTTACATAATCAATAATATCAAACACCTCTGTATTGAGCTTACCTCGGAGTAACCCAATCAAAACCTTCCAAATGACACTGGTATTTTTGAAGCTCTTCCACAAAAAATGAACACGGTAAGCCATGCATAAAACCTATTCAAAAACAAAAGAATGGAAAATTCAAAATCTTTCAAATCGATACTGCGAACAAAAAAGAAAATAATCAGAAATTTTGAGATCGCTCTTATTTAAAATCGACAACTAAGAAAAAGGGCGGGATAGTAACATAGAGTATCTAAAATTGTTTTGAAAGCATGACCTATCTGTAAAATTACTGGTTTAGATAATTGTTTTATAGTTAGAGGAAGGGTTGCTGCTATTGAAACAACTGAGTCAGCTGGGCCATCTTCATTATTTTGTAGTAATTGATCACAGACTTTAATAAAAGTCTGTTTAAAATACTTCATTACGTTTGAAGATTGCGATTTTCAAACTTAACATACTATTATAAGCAGACTGTTTAAAATATTTTTTTAAAATTGAAGACTATCATCTTCACTGTGAGTTAATTCACTTTCAAATTGAATTTCAGTTCAAGAAGGTATGAATATTTTATTTTATTTTATAACTGTCATTGAACAACGTACTCAATTTTGAATTTACGACTACCAATGTTCAACTCCGTAGCCTTGTAATTTTATACCCAATCCAGAAGACAAAGGATATTAGAAAAAAAAATTGCCTTCTTGGAGGACCTTTTGATGGAACTAACCTGTATATGGGGAAGAAAATGTTTAACATTACATGGAGAAGAAAACCACCAACGGTTAACCTGACAGCAAGGGGACTCTAGCCAATGATCCGTCCACTGATTATATTTTATGTCAGCACTGTGGTCGGTGCAAGCGGGGAGTAGAATTCGTATCGATCAGCTATCGCTGGAATTCGAAACGGGGAAGCAAGCACTCAATACCATGAGCCACTACAGCTTAAGGTACGAATGCTGTATTAACATTAATGAGACACTTATAATGCATGTTATAAAAAAACTCAGATATATTACATACCGGCTGCTAATGGTCTTCAATAAGCCATCCTGAATTGCTCTGAAATTGGTGGCCAAATTATGAAATCATATCAGAGTTAATGTTTCGCAATTTTTTCTTGCTGAGATGAAATTTTTTGATTTCTATAGAAAAATGCACATTTCTGACTCCTTATGTTTTTCTTCAATCTAATTTTCACACCGTTGGTCACTTTAAGGACACCCGATAGAAGAAGATACGTAAAAATGAAAAAACAAAAATTTTCAGAGCTATATGAATATTTCAAATGAAACATCGTTGAATTCGGGAAATCGGCATAAATTTGGCGAACTCCAGAATTTAACTGCTGTTAATTGTTAAATTCTGGTAATGTAGTATTACACAAATGTAAATGTAATATTTTTACTAATGTATAAAAAAATAAAAATTTGAGTAAATTGCTACCTGAATAAGTTGTGCCAGGAGTATTAATGTCCGCATGAGCATCCACCCATAAAACACAGACGTCATTTATTTCTGAATGGCCATGAATAGTTCCAAGACCCAAACTATGATCACCACCAATCGTTACACATATTCTATTTTCTTGTAATACTTCCTTCACAGCATTTGACACCTAAATTATTTATAAAATTAGCTTAAAAAATTTAATTAAGAAGAAAATGCTTCAAATGTCAAGTTATATGTGGGGAAAATCGTTCTTTACCTTTTTGTCACTCCTAAAATTGAAGAACGTAAGAGAAATTTAGAAATTCTGAAATGCATGAACCACAATATCTAACATCTTGTTAAAGTTGTAGCTCCTACATCGAACCGATTTTTCTGAAAATGCATGATATTAATGTAAAATGTATCGAAATTATAAATTAACTCTGAACCGATTTTTTTTTATAGAGCTTTAGTAATAAAAGTTTATTGTAAAAGAGATACTCCCTACGATTTTTGGTTTTAGGTGTGACAAATAAACTACTTTTTTGACTCACTGTATTCGAAAAATGAGAAAAAAATTTTAGGTTGTTATTACTTTTGAAGAGCATTGAAGCACACAGACAGCTTGCTAACTTTCTACAGTTTTAATACAGTGCCAACTCGAACCATAATATCGAGCAAACTAAACCTTCTTAATCTTGATTACGTGATACTGTGGTTAAACTTGAAATAAAAAAAATGGCGCAACTTTAACAAGGTCTTAAAGTTGCAGCATATTTGCAAGATATTAAAGTACAAAGTCGAATCGATTTCCCTGAAAGTTTATTGATACGAAGTTATCAGGAAAACATTTAACTCTACGTTTTTTCCTTTTAAGTGTGACAAATAAACTCCTTTTTCAGTCCACTTGAAAAACGTAGTTTTTTAAAAACTCCACTTTAGTTTTCTGCCTGTTAGTTTGTTCATGCTGAACTGATGAAAATTTTGATTAGCTATGAAACCGTTGAAAATATAGATTAGCTATAAATTCTGCTTCTAGTAGTTATCAGGGAACAATTGGAATTCGTATTATCCAACACAGAGCTTCAATGGTTATTTAGGAATTCAAGCTAGTTGGAAGTTATATAGCATAAATTTTTATTGCAAGATTTGCTCCTTCCTAGATCGCCAAGCAAATAGACACGAAATCGATATTCGGTACACGTGCTAAAAAGAAAAAAAAACTAAACATAATTTAAACTTAATAGCTGTAATTTTTATTCATTGGTGAACCTACTTTTTTACAAGCTGCTCCAACTGTTAAAGGGAATTTCAAGATGCCAAAAGTTTCTGTTGACTTATCAGCAACTTGATCAAACTGAATGTTTCCAAAATCTTTTACATTAACACCTGAAAGACGAGATTCTTTCACAATAAACAATGATAATTACAATTTTAAGGCATTGTTTATTTACGAATTTTATTTATTTAAAAATGTGTACTTTATTAACGGAACTGTTAATTAATTAATTTCATATCCTCCTAAGACCTGAGTTTAAAATAATGTCGTAAGATTAGATTTTTACTTGAAAAGTATGTAGTTTAGAACAGCGACTCCTAATGTTTTTTGTCTTCGGAACCCTAAATAATCATCCGTTCTCTGGAACCTCGACTAAAATTAAAGGTGTGAACGTTATAACTTTGATGGTTTTTCACCGTTTCATCATTAATAATTTTAAATTGGGGTTAATTTACGACAATTAAATTTGTAGTCCTTGTTCTATATCTAGTCTAGTTATGAATTTAATTTTGGTATGTATACACGAATGAATAAAATAAGTCGAATTTTGGTTTACTTAAGGCCTGGTTTCTTAGGACAGGACGCCGTCAGCTGGAAATCAGCGTTAACCTCTGATTGGTCCATTTGTGAGTTTGATAGTATACGTCATCGAACGCTCATCTTGAACTACAATTGCCGTCCAACTCAACTGCAGTTGGATTACAACGTGACGTTAACCACAGAAGCAATGGCGGACAACATCCAACAGCACATTGAAATCAGCCAAGATTTTGATTTTGACATTAAACATAGCTTCTTCATTAAACATAGCACTCTTCATTTAGCTCAGCTATAATGTGTTTTTTCCTGGACTAGGTCATTATTTGTTCTCTAAAACGCTGGTCGACAATAACAAAATCAATAAAAATTCAAAATAAATATTTGTTTACGTTATTAACGCATGCGCAATGAAAGATAATGCCTGCGTTGGACCGACTGCTCACGCTGAGCTAACAAAAAAGTATTTTTTTGGCGTCCGCTCTACGTCAACTTTCCGCTGACGCCCAGATAAGGCGCTAGTTCTAAGAAACTAGGCCTTGAGCTAACAAACCAGTATTTTGTTGCCGTCAGCGGGACGTTGACGTCCCGCTGACGCCCAGATAAGGCGCTTGTCCTAAGAAACCAGACCTTTAGAGAGCAAAACTGCTGTTGAAAATGGTTATTAGAAAAACATATTTCTTTAGTAAAAAATTACTTTATTTTAATTTGAAAAGCATGATAAGAAATATTGATACTGAGGCCGCAAAATACAGATGCAGTATTTTATAAATGTTTGTTCGTTTCAAAATTTGTTCAATAAATAGTTATAAGAAGTATTATATATATTTTTCCAAAACGTGTCTTTTCCATTTTGGCTTTTTACTTAAAATAATTTCATGAAGACAACCGGAAGAATAAGTAAATTACAAATCATAGGTTGTATCTAAATATAATCAGAGTTTTCAAAACTCATCACTGATTATAAGCAGTACTAATCCACGAAACCTTCACACTACCACGGAACCCCAGAGTTTTGTGGAACGCCATTTTGGAACCGCTGGTTTAGAAGAAACTAAGCTCATAAATGCAACAACATATTTTAAAAAAATTCAATCAAATAAACTTAATCAACTCTTTTAGTTATTTTTAAGTATTACATAAAAACTATACATTTTAAGCTTTAGATTTTTTTTATTTTTATCTCATGATATTTTTACTTTGTAGCTTTCACATTGTGATCATGGAACAGAATCCACTAGACTCAAAAAATAAGACTTATGATACAGATTATTATTTATTATTATTTATGATATAAGATATTGTTTAAAAATAAATCAATTTTATGGCATATAAGAATATGTGCCATAAAACTGATCAACTTGAATCCAATTTCTTACCTTTCTTATAATATTTCATTGTAATTAAATCTCCCACCAACTATGGTACTATTGTAAACCAACTATGGTAAAGCCAATTATTTTTAAATGAGCAAAAGCAATCGTCCCACGAAGGCATACAAACAGAAATTTTTTTTTAAAAATATTTTAAGTGATAAAACTATAACAAATGTTGTCCTATAAATTTCCTGACATTGACATGCATTGCTCACAAAATTCCCCTAATGTTCAATTCTGTTTTATTAAAAATAAAATTTAATTATTTATTTTCTTTTTAATATGAAACCACTAAGTGAAAGATTAATGTCACGTTAAAATAAAAAGAAAGTTTGAATAATATAAACGAAATAATTCGAACACACGATATTACAAGTCTCTCCTTTGACAGCTAATTCAAGAAATTTATATGAGCATTTAGGAATTTATAGATTTCGCCAAATAAATACGTCCGGTAAAGTAATAACAACAAGTCATAATTTTTATTTTCTATTGTCAACAAATAAACTTTAAAGCTAATTTACTCAAGTTTTCTAAATTGTCGCTAGACTTAGAACATTCATTTTCAACTGTAACTTAGCTAAAGATTCAAAATTGTTTTAGTACATATCAGCTAAAAGGCCATAAAGCCAGAGACAACGCCAGATTTTGGTTTACACCTATCATCGGATACCACTAATACACATAAGTACAATATACGACAGTATCCCGATCCTTAAAGATAACAATATATATCAAATATAGATAATATCGCTATTAATGATAACATATCAGAAATGTAATATAAAGTATATCATACAAAACGATAATTATTGAATATGACATTATTGTAAATGTTGATAAATTTTATTTAGGTAACAAAAATATTGACCTATGCAAAAATTATATAAATTAATTAAATTTAGAAAATATATTGCGAGATAGTGTTAAATATTGATACTTTCAATAATAAATCGTGACACTAAAATTTGTACGTTACTTTTCGGTTAACCGAGGGAAAGGGAATTCAATACGTTTCTTTTAATAAATTTAATTTATTCTTTTATATTTATTTAATTATGTGTTTAAAAAATGAATAAAATATTAAAAAAAAGTTGGAGGGGGGCTACATTTTTTGGCGAGTCTTCGCTTACGTACGGCTAACCGAAAAGAACCATTTGTACTTATAGGTTACAGGGACCAATGTTCGTGTCGGCGACAAGGTGGACGAGCAGTTCTCATCACATGGTCTCTATATATCAGTTAAGTATTATTATTTTTATTTCTGACATAACTTCGGTACTGTCATAATTGCATGTCAAAAAAAAAAAAAAAATCTTAAAAATATGTAAGCCACATTCCTGATTTATTTAAATAATAAACTTCATCATACATTGGTATTCTCTTAGATCATGATACATTTTTATAAATAATATTGAAAGGTAATTGATTTCTTACCTAACTGTGTTAAATTTTTGATCAAACCTAATTTTCTTAAGGCATCTGGTGCTTTTTCAACTCCTTCTTTTGGCTGTAAGCATGTTAAAAATGAGAGATAAATTTCAATTACTTAATTATATTTTCACAACTTGAATAAAGAATTAACTACGTTGAATTTAATCAAATAAAAACTTAGTTATTATTTTTGTAAAATAACTTGGTCATGACAATTAATTGTAACTAATATTTTCAATGGATTTAGAGAAAGTATTATATTGTTAAATTATCTTTTTGATACAGTTATTTGAAAAGATTACAACGAATATATTTTATTAAATATGTTTGTTTAAAATGTATTGTATCTACACGCATTACAGTACGTCTATTGTACTAAAAGCATTTGCATACCTGCTAAAAAGGAAATCCTTAACTTAATGACAAAAATTTTAGTAAAGCTGATTTAAAAAGTCTTTGATTGTTGAAATGTTTGTTCGATATAAAAAAAAAAGGGTCAAAATACTAAAAAGAAAAGAAAAAAAGTATTGAGTTCAGTTGGGGCAGGTTTGATTATTCTTAGATTTAAACAGTTCAATTTTTTAATGTTTAACTTTAGCAAGATTAGTTTCTAAAGTTACCATATTTAGATTTATCAATGCTGGATTAGACGATAGCGATTTCAGATGCACAATTTCATTTTGTTGACGAATTTTAAAATTGACTTCCTTTGAAAAAACTAAATATAAATATTTTAATTTATAATTAATAGAGTTTATTTGCGAAGTTTTTGAAATATATTAATGAATTTAAAATTTGCTTCTAACTATCAGAATTTGCATTATTATATTCTTTATTAATTTTATTAAATGCCGGAATGGTGGCAGCATAGGACTTCAATCTTTTCAAACATAAAATTAATACCATGATTCTAACGGAAATGGATCAAACGTACTTTTTGGTTAGCCCGGTGTAAGCGAAAAGTCACCAAAAAATGTTGAACTCCGCCAACTTATATTTTTCATTTTATTTATTTTTTAAACACATAAAAAGGAAATAAAATTTAAAAAATATGAAATAAAAAATGGTTGAATTGTCTTGCGTCCGGCTTACCGAAAAGTACCGAACGAACTTTAAAAGGTAATACAAATGTCTAAAATATGCGTTTTACTCATAGAAACTATCCTTTGAGGCTCGAATACAATTATTTCTTTTACTATATTACATTTATTTACAAAGTTATTTATTGCAGATATGTTTGCGATTAAAAATAATTATTTTGGCAATTATTATAGTCTTAGAGAAAACAAGGAAAATGACTTAAAAGTAAGATTTTTTTATTAACAAGTAATCGAGATAAAAATAATAATAAAATAGATGATTTTAAATACAGTAAAAACTCAAAATTACAGTTCCCAATCCAAGGAGCAATCTATGACTGGTATTTCTCGGTTTATAATTACGATTAATTGGTCTGTGGCTATAAAATGGCTTTATTTTGCGATTTTAAAAGTTCTAAATGATGAAACAATTTACTTATTTATACAAAGAAAGAAATTGAATTTTTTTGCACTTAAACTTTAATATGCTAAAGGATGTGAATAAAACAATTAAAATCAATACATACCTGACCTTTATTGAAAGGAGCTCCCAAAATCCCGACAGATGATGAATTAATGCTCCGTTTAAGAAATGGCTCTTTGATCGAATTTGTGAGAAGCGCTAATTTTATTAATCTTGCACTTGAAAACATTTTTCTTGTTATTAAGTTTTAAACACTGTCTCACAAGTTGAATTTAAAATAAGTGGTATAAAACATTTTTCAAGTTTGCCTAAAAGCACGATAATTTTGATCATCGCTGAAAAATTTGATTGTAAAAGGTGACTCAAATCTCGTTCCACGATCTTATCGTACTAATCGTAAACAAATTGATTGATATATATAGTTCAGAATATATCTCTCTGCAATCTTGAAATTCGAAAAATTCCAATAATATTATTTACATTGGCAGTCTTGGTTGCTAGGAGTAACGATGAAGATTAATATTAATATTATTGTGAAAGTATTAAATTGCTATGAAAGCTACAAGTCCAGAAAGAAAAGAAAAAAAACAGAAGCAGCAAGATATACATTTTGCGGAGTATTTACGCTGTAAGAAAAAAGTAGTATATTCGAATTTGGAGATGCGAACGAGAAACTGAGTGGTGAGATTTTCGCAGGCAAATGTATTTCACAAATGTTTAGTATGCATTGTGAATGTCTCCTTAAGGAATTAAAATAAATTGGGTAATAATAAAATTAAAATGTGTGAGAGATCTCGATTATTAATAAAATAATTATGGTTTATGAATGATTTTTGTAAATTTTTTCTTCAGATAAATCTGAAAAAAAAAAAAAAAAAAAATCGGGAGAACATTGATAGAACATTAAACTGCAACCATCCGAATTACCATTGTTTTGCGGGAATTTGTTCGAACCTAAATAAAGCAAAGCACACTGCCCCCATAGATATTAATTTTGCACTTGCTTTAAAAAATTCTAAAATATTTATAATTCTATTGAATTTACAAAATGAGTTCAGAATTACCTTTTGTTGCTGAGTATGCAAAGAGTGGGAGAGCTTCTTGCAAAGCATGTAAAGGAAATATTGGTAAAGAAAGCCTACGCATAGGCATAATGGTGCAGGTAAAATCTATTTAAAAAAATTTATTATATTTTTGTTAATGTTGTTTATATTTTAATCGCCCTAAATTGTATGTCATTTTGGGGGGATTATCTTGATTATAAAGAGGTATATTTTTATTGTTCAAGTTCATTTGCTTTCGTTTTCGTTCCTGTAATGTGCTCTCTTGAAACATAGATTTATTTATTTAAAATAAAAAATAATAAAAATTAACAATCTGGAATTCAAGCGGGGTAAAGTAGCAACTTCGCGATCTCTCGTCCATTTTCTTTACTACTCAAAGAAAGAAAGGCAGGTTTAATCTATACTATGCACTTTCATAAATTTGTTTATTAACCATTTGTTTTTTGTCAAAATAATAAATAATGTCTAATGTTATAATAATTCCTCTGATCATGGGTGCCACTCTTCAGTCCCCGGTACTGAAATCAGTCTTGATCTAAGATTAATGGACTGAATTCCAGCCTCCAATTGTTAAAATTTCTGCCAATTTATTTTTTCAATTAAATTTTTAAAAAAATAAAATTTTTCAATGTTTTCTATTGTAATGATTAAATGTAACAATTATTTTGTCTTAAAAATAAATCAATATTAAATTACTTTTTAGTGCAAACTATGTTATTTTTTATACTTATTGGGAAATGATTAAGTAATGATATCACATCACAATAAAAAGAATGAGATTGACTGTTTGTGCAAAATAAATTTATATTGGTTTAACTGAATCTGTTTAGTATAAAATTTTTTTGCGTAGTGTTTTGATATGCTGGTTGCATAAAGAATTTTTTTTATAAAATCAAATTGATTAAGCTAGAGCAAAACAATAGTGATTGAGTAAAAAGAAAAGAGATGTAAGTAGTGCTAAGAAAAAGTTGTGTGTCCGTTAAGCAGCATTTGATGTAAAAAAATTTACAAATTAACTTTTGTTTTTGGGATAGTTTTCATACCATGATCTGTTGCTCCTACTACAATCGCCAGATGCTAAGTAAATTTTTTAAACTTGCACATTTAAAAAAAATATATATATATATGGATGTTTGCTTGGAAGTGGTTATGAGTTGGACCAATGATTCCCAAAGTGGTCTATATCGCCCCACCGGGGGTCGACGACAACCTGAAAAGGGTCCATGTCAAGTGAAAAAAAATAGTGGATCTCATATAAGCAGGTTGATACTTTAATTTTGGCATTTCATGAATTTCATGAACATACACTGATAGTACCTATTTACTTACACTATACTACCTTATAATCTAAAGACACATATCTATCTACATTCTGCATAATTTATAAAAGTAGCTATGAAGTAAGAATTTTATTAAAATTTTAGTTACTAGGATTAGGACTGGGTGATGTAAGAAATTTTATATCGTGATACATCGTCTGTTAGACATAGTGATGTAGCGCGATTTAGTATGTGTTCAAAAATTATCTACCATTAATATTTAAATTAATCAAAAATAAATAAAAGGAATAAATCGCCTACAAATCTAAATATCATAAGTATAAAACAAACCCAAGCTTTATTTAAATTTTTTTTAAAATTAAGAAAGACTTGAGATTTATTGGTTTAAAAGTAACGAAATATTTTACATACATACATAAAAAATTAAAAAGAATCCTAAAGGAAAGTAAAAAAAAAAACTAAAAAAATGTTCTCTTTAGTAAAACATTTTTTAAATTATTTTTTGAAAAATGTGTGCTTTTAAAGCTTTGTTAGACTTTTTTTAATTTATTTATTTAAAATAACAAAGTTGTCTTAACTAATGGTCAAATTCTATACTTAATGAATGTAAAAATAAATGAAAGTTTTTTATTTATTATTTTCTATTTTGAAAATAAAATCAACTATGGATTTATTTGTTTAAAAATGATGCAGACTGTCTAACAAATTATGAATCAAACAAGTATTGAAAGAATTTTAATAAAAATTTAAAAATATATACATTATATAATTTTAAGTACTATTGTTAAATTATTAAAAAGCATCAAAACATTGCTTAACTTTTTGTTCAATTAAAAATATATTTGTTTTAACTAATAGCCAAATTTTTTTAAAATTAAAAACGACTGAAGATTTATTTGTTTAAAAATAATCCAATTCTATCAAATTATTATACTTACACATTTTATACACACATATTATACTCACACATTTTTCAAAAATAATCCAATTCTATCAAATTATTATACTTACGTGCATTAAATAAATTAAAAAAAAACTGTTTATAACAAAGTCAAATTAAATACAAAGTACCCCTATTAAACAGTAACGCTTAAATTAAAAAACAATAATAAAATAAAAAAACAATGAAGAATCTTTTTTTTCTCTTTGTGTTTTCTTTTCATTAATAGATTGAGTTCAGAACGAAGATTTAGGATAATAGGTTCGATCGGCAATAACAATAGGTCTACTAAACATAATTTACAAGAATCGTTAAATCCCGAGAGTAAAAAAAAAGATGAAAAAGTGACGAAATAATGCACAATGAAATGATCGCTAAGCAGTAAAGTGCACAGCAATCACAAAATAACGTAAGTCCGGCTAAAAATAATCTTCAAGAAAAGTAAACTTCCAAAGACAAAAATGGCGCGTAAATAAAATATGCATAGCGTTCTATTTCAAAGCCGATCCTCGTTTGAAACTGGGAGTTCTGATTCAATTCACTTTCCGTTATTCAACATCATGAAACTAACATTGTCTTCGTAGCTCCACACTATCAACAGCTCCCCAGTCAGACGAAATCAAAATAGTCTTTGTCACCGCGGTGACAGCATTACCATAGGCAAGTATTCTCACATATTAAATCGTTATATTGTTAAACCTTGAGCATTGTCTTACATGACTGCTTAAATCAGGTTTCTGATGCATCGGCTAAAACGAGATTCACTCTCGGCAGCTTAAATCAGATTTCTGATGCATCGTCTAAAACGAAAACCACTCTCGGCAGCTTAAATCAGATTTCTGATGCATCGCCTAAAAGGAAATGCATATATCAGCCTGCCGATGTATGCACTAAATCGATATTGCACGATGCATCAATTTATAGCCCAGTCCCAATTAGGATTATTTTCTGATATATAAAACTGAATTATTATAAACTAGCAGTTGCCTGCAGCTCCATCCACATATGTTTTTATTCTTTCTGCGTATAAGGTTTTATTTTGTAACGAAAAAGTATTTTTCTGTGGTAAATTGGTTTCTGGTAAATTAATTGGATTGGTAAATTAATTTGAATTTAATTAATAAATGTATAAAATTAGCATGTGTTTTTTCTTAAGTTTTTCACACTACACTTCACTACAGTTTGAAATTTAAATCTTTCACGGTGAAAAGCACTAAACCAACTGTCAAGAATACATTTAAAGTTGATGAATTACAAAAAATCAATATCAGGTAAACAGGGGGTCCACCAGAAACTGAAAAACATGGCAAATGGTCTACGAGACAAAATAGTTCAGAAACCACCAGGGTTGGCAAGATTTTGCCGCAGGTGGAAAAAACCATGGTAAATACCGGTAAAAACCATCCTGGCAAAAACAGGTTTTTGCCAAGCAAATTGGCAAAAGGTGGCAAAAACCTATATTTTCCAAGATGAGAGGACAAAAACACATTTTTGATACAAAATTATTCCTAAAATTGAAATATATTTTATGAATATAAATAGTTACAAAAAAATTAACTAAATTATTATTCCAGAATTAAATGATAATGTAATAATATATCATTTTAGTAGTTTAAAACATTATTGATTGGAAAATTTGTGATTATTCTCTTTTATCCAGTGAAATGAACTTATTTTAAATTAATATAACTATAATTTAAAGCATAAAATATCTTATCAACATGTGTAGTTAATTATTGTACAAATAATAATATTTTATAATAAATAATAATATTATACAAATAATAATATTTATTTGTAAAAAAACATATTTTAGGATTCTAAAATGAAAGGAGATCAAAAACTTTCAATCTTTTAAAAATTATTACCCTTATATTAATTATTAATATGTTAAAAATAATTTTTTCATGTAATGTATCAAAACTATTATTCCTTATGATTGATTTAAATTTGTTTCAATTATTTTGTAATAATATTTAATCAGCAATTTAGATAATTTGGTTTTTGCCGGTTTTTACCAGTTTTTGCCGGTTTTTACCAGGTTTTTGCCACTGTCCTGGCAAAAACCCCTTTTTGCCGGCAAAAACTCCAACCCTGGAAACCACTGAGTTGGACCTTTCAAGTTGGCCCGTTCTGTGATGTTTTTATTTCTTTATTTCTTTTACTTTCTTACGGGCTGCGGGCCTAGAAGTATTTTTTAGAAAAAATAATCAAGTTATTGATAATGTATGGTCTTTAACAATAATTGTAATGGAATTTTTTTAAAATCCAGTCTCCTCACTTTGATGGTAAAGTGCCTCATTGGCATCATTTTGCATGCTTCTTCAAGAAGAAAACTGCATTGAAAAGTACTAGTGATGTGGCTAATTTTGATAACCTCAGATGGGAAGACCAAGAAAAGTTTAAGAAGCTGATGCAAAGTATGCAAATTTTTTTTCTTTTTTGGTTTTGCTAGCAAGAAGTAAAACCATATTAATCTTAAAACAATTGTCATTTTGTCAATGAGTCTTACAATCTGAGTTTTTGCAATGTTTTTTTGTCTTAACTAATCTAGTTTTTATGTCATCACTTCCTTAAATGACAGAAAGCTCTTTTAGTGTTATCGTGATAGACCTGGGAGATATTTGTATTTCCATATCATGACTTGTCATGCCAACAATTGCCTAAACTCCTCATTGATTTTAAGCTTGTAAAATTAAAAAAAAATATTTATATTGAGGTGTGCCTGTGTATAGTTATACCCTTCAACTAATTGCCATTCTCTGATATTTTTAGTCTCTTGCAGCCAATTCCCGGAAGTTGCCATTATTTTGGCGTTTGATAAGGGAATCTTGTTTTAAAATAAGCTTTTCAAAAATTAAAATAATTCTTAGGGAAGAATAAAATAATTATTTCACAAATAATAAGAAAAAATAAATAAATGTTTCAAATAATCAAACACATGCTTTTACAATCAACAGAAATAATTTAAAAATAAGGAAATTCAATCATTATATTTTATGTTATAATAATGCAACTGAGTTTGGCAAGTTGCTTATTGGATATTACAAAATGATTTTCGTTAGTATAAATCTTTGCATGTATAAAAATAAATTAAAAATAATTAAAACTTTGATCGGAGCAAATTATAATAAGTTTTAATTTTATTAGTTTAAAACAAATATTGTAATGGAAAATTTATCTAGAAAATAGCTTCCAGAACTCACAGCTACTAAAATGATGTGCAGGCTCCTGTTATGGTAGTACATCAACTGCATTGAGATGGTCATCTCATCCTGTGAAAGTATTTTTAATGTTTTAATCTAAAAGGAAATGTTATTATTAAACTGAAACACTGTTCTGTTTCATCTACAAAAACTTTTATCTGATCTTCATCGACGCCGCCGCCCTTATTATTTATATTTGTATACGTTATCACATAAAATTAAAACGTCGTAAAAAGCAAACGTTCTGATTGGTTCAAGTTTGAATGGAGAGAAAAATTGACTGAAGAGTTGCTGGTATTTAAGGCGACCGTGATTTCTTTATCACAAGGGGATTTTCGAGCAATTTTTGTAGAAATTGCTTTTAGAATTTAGGCTCCGCTTATGGTTGCTCTTATTTTCTCTTGTGTGATATAACCATTATAAGAATTTTATAAATCATATAAAATTTACTATGTAGTAACTATACATAATCACTCCTACAAGGGCTGTATACATCTTCTAATTAAAATGTGTAAACAAATTATTTAAATTTTTTATAATACAGGGATGAGATTTTTCCGCTTTTTAGCGGATTTCCGCTTTTTTTACTTTTTCCCCTCAAATTTCAGCCTTTTTATCAAAAACTTTGATTATCTCTAAGTTTCAGTTGTTTCTTTTTTTATAAATATTCGAAAAATTCTTTTTCGAAAAATTCAGCCGTTGAAATAATATAATTATATTTCCGATTTTCAAATATAAACAGAAAATTCAAACTACATAGCTGCCAATCCTTCCACGTGTTTCCTTATTTTAGCTATTTTCTCCGCTTTTACGTGCAGAAGATTAGATTTTCCGCATTTTTACCCACCCGCCAGATAGTTCGTATTTTCGTAATTCAGACATCGCTGCTTCAACTGAGTCTTTTACAAGTTCGGAATTTGCTAACATTCCGAACATTATTATTTCGATTCTTATTTACGAGATTTAAAAATCCAATATTACAATTTGTATTTACGCGTTTTAAAAAAATCTATGTAGTGATTCATATTCACGCGAGTTTAAAATTCAATGTCGTGATTTGTTCATGCGGTTATAATATCAAACATTGATTTTCGCATTTATACGTGATTTTAAAATAAGACATTGCGAAATTTTTATCGTGTGAAGAATAATTATCTAAACAGTTTCTGATTATCATGTAATTTTTTCAAACTAAAATAGCAATTTTTTTCATGTTAAGGAGTTACTATATGTTTCTACTACACAGTTATTGACATGTTTCACAGGGCTCTAGCTAGATTAGATTATAATATGAACATAGTGATTCTAATTGTAGAAGTTTATTTTCTTTTCTAAATTATTTAGAAAGTCATGGTTCTGATTTATTTGTTATAAATCACGTAACAGTATTTATTAAAAGAAAGGGACTTTCAATGTATGTTCTCAGAAGTTTTTATTTGCTAAATCAGGCAGTTCTTCAAGTAATAATTGTTTCGTTTATGTAAACTGAAGAAAAATATAATTTCTAGCTTTATTGGTAATTTTACTTTTTACTAAATGTTAAGTATCGATGTAATCATTTATTTATTATTAAATTAGTACACAATTTTATGTCACCACATAGTTATTTATTGTCTTAAATTGCTGCAATTTATTATTAAACGATTGCAAAATTTACTTGCGTGGAAATTCAGCTTTTTTGCCTTTTGGCCAATCTCATCCCTGATAATACAATTCTTTGTATGTTGTATTTGTATAGTGAAATAGATATCTTATTCCAAGAGCATTATCTATTAAGAAGTAAGTCGTAAATAACTTAAAGTAAACTGGAAGAACATGATATGTTTTGAAATTTTTAGAAATTATGATTCGTCAATTTTTATCTGTTATAGGCACAGAAACGAAAGTAGCAAATGGAGATCTTAGTGATTTTTCAGTAGAATATGCAAAATCAAATCGTGCCACTTGTAGAGGATGTGAAGAAAAAATTAGCAAGGTTTAGTAAAGTTTTTCTGTTATCAATTTATAATTATTTGGATTTATTTTTCTTTTCATGTTTGCTATCTTGTAACAATTTTAATCATTAAAGTTAAAATTTATACAAATATTTCTTTTTCTACATAAGTCCTTATCAGTGTGTGCTTTTAGTGGAGTCATAGGGCTAAACATTTTCTGTCATAAATGTAGATAAAAAGCTAACCATAAATTTTTTTTGATTTTTTTTTATGACATCATAAAGTTCTTATTGTGTTTGTATAGTCCATAGATTTCATAGATTAGTATTATTTTGTGGAATCTCATATGTAATCTTCATCCAAATTATAGACCTAGTAATTCAGTAATAAAAATCACTTATTATTGTTATGCAGTATTAATTTTCAAATAAAGAGCAAGGGGAATTGTATTCTGGAATTCAAGGATTTTTGTGTCATTCCTGTTCTAAAAACTAAGAGCAGATCATGTGATTTCTGTGAATTTTAGGGAATTCCGCTTATCAAAAACTTAAAATCCAAATTTTTTTTTACAGTTTTCGTAATTTAAAATTGAAAATACTTTCGCTGAATCCCTGTTAACGAGATATTTATATTCATGTTATTTTTCCTCCGATTTGATTCTTTTGGTTTTGCAGATTTTTCTTATTTTAAGTATTTTAATCTGTGTCAGAATCCGCTGATATCGCGATTTTAATATTAAACGTATGATTTAATATTCGTGAGATTTGTATTATATTTTTAATATCCAATATCTCGATTCGTTTTTGTGCTAGTTTGTAATCCAATGTTGCAATTTGTATTTACACAATTTTAATATCCAATATTCCAATTCTTATAAGAACTAAGTTCTTTCCTAAATTAATTTCTATAAAGTAGTATTCTTCTTCAGTAGGTAATTCAATTATAAATCTTAGTTCAATAACTTATATTAAATGTGTATGGTATATGAATTGATATTTTGATATCAAGTGTTTATACTTTAAAATTTTCATTGTTCTTCACTTTGTGTCTCTAAGGACTTCTATTAGACTTGATAAAGAATGTCCCTTGCTGTTGCTCAAATTTTTATTTTTATATGCACTAAACTTATATTATTAACAAATCAGAACTAGCAGAACACTTGTTCTTTTGCTTTAATTTTGTTAATAACTTCCTTTTTCTTCTGTAATGTGAAATGACTAATTACTAAACTATTTACTAATTTTAAATAAAATATTAAATCATTGTCTCCCAAGCAAAAACCAATCAGATTATCTTAATTATATTAAGAATATATTAATATAAGATTATATTATGAATATATTAATATAAGATTATATTATGAATGTATTAATATAAGATTATATTATGAATGTATTAATATAAGATTATATTAAGAATATATTAATATAAGATTATATTAAGAATTATATGTTTATATAATCTTTTAAAATATTAGGTGGAGGGAAAGCAAAGCCAAAATATGACAATAGAGAAAACAATAAAAGAGAAAAATGATCTCACCAATTATAAAATTAGGAGGTTTTGTTAAATTTCACATATATACTAATGATTCACATTTTTCAATCAGTTGCACATAGAACTGTGTCTGTAATTTTTTTTATTTCTCGTTTTTCTGCATCATCTCACACTTTATAAAACCATTTTATTTATTTTGGCCTTCAACTTCAATCTATTTAAAATTAGTCAATTCAACATCCAATCAGCTTATGTTTTCTCCCTAAATCTAAGCCTATGGTGAGGCTAGGTAATTTTAGATCCCCACACAAAACTAACATATAGAAAAATATTAGGTCATGCAACCACTGTCTCCATCCCTTACAAATAATATTCTAAATGTTGACAAAAAATCTCTATTCTTGCTACCCCATCTAAAATTATGACGAAGCTAAATAAAAACTGAAGATTTTAAATATACATTAATAAAAATCATAAACTGTAAATATAAACAATTTGTAGTGACCAAACCATTACTATAGAATATATTAATAAAAATCATAAAATGAAAATATAAACAATATGTAGTGACCATACCATTACTATAGAATATATTAAGAACTTTCAATGTAAATTTAAATGTAAAATTTTTTTAGTGCTTTTTTAGGTGCTAATTTTTTGTAAGAGGATATAGCTACACTCTCTGTTAATTTTTTAAATTGGATTCTTAAGTTTATAAAGAATGCCATCTTTTCTTAGGTTGAATTTATTTTATCCCCCCTCTTTCCCTTTTCTATTGTTGCCAACTTGGACTGTTCTGTTATGAACTTCTCTATTACTATAACACGTTCTTCTTTATTTTGTTTCTTTATTTCCTTATATTTTTTATATATTTTTTTTCTTTTTTGTCAGACAAACATTTCAAAGCAGAACTAAATTCTTAAGTAAAAATTATATAATTAAAATGTATTTTTAAAAAAAAATTATTTTGTGCGAAATAGTTTTCCGTCATTGAACTATGTATTCTATAGTTAAATTTCTAACTTGAGATAAAAAATTGAAAATTGTTTCAAAAGGTTTTACAGTTGTAGAAATAAATTGATCAAGGAATTGTGAAACATTTCTTAAATTGTAACATATATCAAAATGTGTGATATTATTGATTAATTTGTGTTGTTGGACATATTCCATACTTCTAAAATCTCCATACTTTGAGGTGATTATTTATTTGTAATTTTTACAGGGTATTATACGTATATCTAAAATTGATAGAGACCGTGCGGAAGCTCAAAGATTTGGACCTGCGCCAGCCTGGCGTCATGTTGATTGCTTTGTCAAAGATCGACAATTGTTGGAATTTACAGATTCTGCTGAAAAGTAAGTTGCTCAGATTCTGCTGCATATTTTTTTAATCTGTACGTGTATATATATAATGCATGTATCTATATGTCTATAAATGTTATAATTTTTTATTCTCACTATTATTTTTAGATTACCTGGTTTCAAGAATTTGTCTGAAGAAGATCAAGCTATGTTAAAAGAAAAACTACCTTCCTCTGGAGTGTGAGTACATTTTATTAGTAAAATAATGTTTTAAGGAAATTATTAGCTTCAATGAATTTTTGTTTGAACTATTATTATACAGCCTTAATAAAATTCACTTTCTCTTTTGATCTTGCTCTCAATATGTTTTCTGAATGTTTCCTTTTTATAATATGATTCAATGAATATGAATATAATTCCATCAAAGAAACAGCAACAGGTAACAATTCTCTAACACCGAGTGTATTACTGTAATCCTTAAAGTAATATTGAAGTCAGCTTGAACCTAATAATTTGTTAAATCTATATCATTTGTTATGTTTTATCTTTCTGTAAAATTTCTATTTGTGGAAATTTTATGGTAACCACCTGTTAATTTTAAGTGCAAATTTATTCCATCAAATAATAATTTTTTTTGAATGTTAGTTTAAAGCATACCATACATTTTTATGTTTATAAGTTAAATTTCTTAACCTTGATTGAAAGTATCATTTTATCTCAGCAAAGAAATTGTTAGGAATTTTTGTTATAATTTAATGTAATGATTATTTCAAGTAAGAGGTTTTAATATTAATTAAAATGTCTTAATTTATACAAACTTGAAATTCATTCTATTAAATATTATTTATTTGTCATTAGTACTCTAATTAGTTAGGTAAAAAATTGATAGCTTGACTAATATTTTGGTTTATTGTAGAAAGAGAAAAAATGACGATTCAGAAGCAACTTCTTCTAAAGCAAATAAATCTGTTAGAAAAGAAGATAAAATTTTAAAGGTAAAATTTTATAATAAATTTGCAGTGTTTATTTTCATTCCAGTAAACTGTGGCAAACAGCAATGTTTCTTGTTTAAAAAAGTTTTAGAAGTTGTTGAAATTAATTTTTGTTTTTATATTCTTAGGAAAAGTCTTAAATTGAATAAATTTATTGAAGTACCAATAGTTTCTGAATTTTTTCTTATTGTAAAATAAATAAAAAATAAGATTCTCTCAAAATGTGTAAAATTTAAATATAGCTACATCTTGAAAGCAAGCTTTAGCTTATTTGGACCTGATATTTGCTGTAATGGAATGATTATAATAAAATAAAGCAATGTGGTTCCCCCTTTAAAATCTGCTTTTTACTTTACCTCTCTCCTCACCAATAGTAGTATAAGTTCTATTCGGGGGAGCTTTTTAAAGAGGTAAAGAGTGATCTTTCTTGGAATAACAGGGTGTGGGGGCCTTTTTCTGGTCTTGTGGATGAGAGAAGTTTTATTTATTTATTAGCTTATCAATTCTAAAGTTATTAATAGTAAAACCAAACATTAAAGTAGTTAAGTACCGAGCAAAAACATAGACTAAAATCAATAATTATATGACTATTACATCCATTTTATTTCCTACTAAAGTTTCAAGTATTTTTTTACAAATCTAATATCACTCTTGCTGATATCATAATAAAATAAATTGGACTGAAAACATTGTTTAAAAAAAAAAAAAAATTGGGCCGTTGCTTTTTTAAAACTCCAAAGTTTTTTTCCTATTTAAAACGTTTTATATGTATTTCTATTTTATATGTTATGAATGTATTTGTAATAGTACTTACTTTTTTCAGCTACAAAACCAACTACTTTTTGAAATGAGAGACAACTTGAAGAATTTTAAAAAGAAAGAGATGGTGGATTTGCTTGAATATAATGACCAGTATATTTGTAAAGGAGAGAGCAGGGTAAGCCTGAATTACCAGTCTTTATTTTCTTCCTCAAATTCAAAATTTTTGACTTATGTACTAAATTGCCTTTTTTCAATTTTTTCTTTTTAATATTTTTACTTACAAAAATACCTGATTTTCCTTTTTTGTTCCATTTTTATTGAATGTTAAAATTTATAACTAGAAAAGAAATACTCTTTACAAACTCTATACTAAAAATAAAACTTTATGATTAATTCATAAAGTTTTATTTTTAGTATAGAGTTTGTAAAGGTTTAGTAAAGGTCAAGTGCCAGCAATTTAGATTTTTCAATGTGGGTTATAAGAGGATCATACAGTGTTTTCATTGCAGAAAAAAAAATGGGAGAGAATTTTTCCCTCTTTCTCAAAAACAGGGTGAGATTTCAAAAAATTAAGTGAGATTTCTAAAAATTAAAAAAAAACACGTATAGACTTGGAAAAAAAAATATTTCTTTAATTAATACATTTTTAACATCTTCTAATTGAATATTTTTGCTGCATCATCATATGGAAAATTTTCTATGTCTACTTTTTCATCAGTTATATTTATTTGGCTGAAAAATATCTGTATTTGTTTAATTTTGACCATTTCTACCGACCTTTGTTTCATTTTCATTTGTTCGTTACGGAGTAGAAGATGTTGCCTTAAGAAGGCATTTGTCCATCTTACATTTGTGCACAAAAAGTGTGAACGTCTTACATGAAGAAACCTTACCTACGGTGAACACGTGGTTGCAGAGTAATATGTTCTGAAAGGGGTTCCGTGTTTCGGGGGGGGGGGTATTTTGCTGTTCTCACCGGTTCTGAACAATATGGGTAAATAGGGTAGGTAATAACAAGGACTGATGGTCAAAATAATGAAAGATCAAGGAAGAAAAGAGAAACGTATTTTATTCAAACTGGCAAAAGACGAATTTTCGCTCATTTTGAAATTGATTAATAGAGCGCTCGAACTTCTTGCATTAATAATTTTTATTCCGTGAAGAGTTAAAAATATGCGAGATTCTCGTCCTGTAGTGAAAACACTGATCATACATTAATTAGTTATACACATAAGTTTTGTTTATTGAACTGAGGTGTTATGATAAGTTTTGCTATCTAAGTCTTTCATATTTATAATAATGGTATTTTTTTTTCATGTTGTAGTGTAATCTAATTTCATAAAAGCTTTGTTTCGTGATAATTTAAATATTTATTATATCAAGTCTGACCTGTCAATTCATTAATGCCATGTTATGTCAATCCTCTTGTTTCTATGAAATAATTTTTCAACTGCTACAAAATTATTAATATCTCTGATGCATTGAGTTTGTCTACTTATCTTTGCAAATGCCAAAGTCATCTTGTACAATATGCTTTTATTTATTGGACAATGTTGGGCTCTTTCCTTATGGCAGAATTTTTTCGAGCTATCTGCGATAAAACTCTCTTGCACTAATAACTTTCTGCTAGATACTTTTATTAATAACAAACATATAGGTTATTAATTTAAAATAACAAAAGTGCTGTTTCCAAAAAAAAAAAAAAAAACTATATTTCTTTTTAGTTGAACATGTAATAATTTTTTATTCTAATATTATGAGTGATATTCTTGCATTTTGTTGAGAGGTTATTTTGTTGCATTTTGTAAATGATCATCACACTAAAAAAATAATTTAAAATCTCGAAATCCGTGATTGTTGAAATAAGATCGACTAAATCATGCGAATCAGACTCCCTGAATGCGTTTTGCTATTAGGTTGTTTTGATAAATGATATGATTTAAAAATTATCAGATTTTAAAACTGTCGGGAAATCAATAGCAACCAAATAATATTGAAATTTGAAAAACTAAGTAAAAATCTGTTTTAATAACTGTCGAAAAACGATCAGCAAAACCTCGCAGATTAATTGTGGAATTGTCATTAATCAAGTGGATTGACAAATTAATTAGTAGTAACTGAAGTGTGTGATTCTGAATTATGCGGTTTGTTATAATGGCTTATTCAAGATTTTAAAAACCACAAGCTTCAAAAATAGCGTAATTACTGGGACTAATTTGTTGTAGTGAAATTGACATTAATTATTGACTTTTTGGTATTTTTTATGGAAAAAAAATTTGCAGTGTTTGTTTACCTTAAAGACCTATTATGCGGAAAAATCTATTTTCTGGACTTGTCCAAGGTCCTGTCAATTCCATTTATGGGACTTTTCAGTATAATACGATCTTTACATACATTTTGTGTGTTAAGAGTATTTTAATAACTAAAATATTAATTAAATTATGTTTTTAAAGTTGCTTAGTTTAAACATTTTTTTTATTTTCATTTTTTGTTTTTTAGATTTTAGATCATTTGTCCGATTGCTTAGTTTTTGGAGCATTAAAAACTTGTCCAGCTTGTAAAAACGCCAAATTACGTTTTAAGTAAGCCTTATAATTTCAGTTAATTCTCTAATAACATATTTCTCTTGTATTTTGTGTCAAAGTTTTGACTTAAATTCAAATAATTTCTGTTAATACTGTGATTCATTCTTCAAAATGTTCTTATTTGTAGCTCTTATCATTACGTAATTCTAATATTTTAGATTATTAAATTTTATTATTTGATATGGGAAACACAAATTAAAATTTTAACATTGACTGTATATTAAATTATTTTAAGAACTTCCTTGGTTAAAATTATCTGTTAATATTTTTAGGTAATGTCCATAACAAAAGAATTGAAATTTTCTTAATCAAAGTTTTTCTTTACTAAGGTGTTTGATTGTTTTATGTTATTTTGTAAATAAGTAACGCTTAATTTGAGTATATCCTGTCTCTTTTTAGATGTGATTCCTATTATTGTCCTGGTAATTTAACAGAGTGGACAAAGTGCCAGTATGAAACTAAATACCCAGAAAGAGAAGCGTTTCATATACCGGATGATTTTAAAGAAACTTATGACTTTTTGTATGTTACTGTTTTTAATTAAATTTTTAAGTTAGTACAGTTTTTAAGTTAAATTTTTTGATGCTGATAAAAATTTTAAAAAATTTTCTGTGCATTGCTATATACGTTTAATAAATTTTAGATAATTTTGACTTATATTATAAGAAAATATTTAATTTTGGTATTAAATTTTATTTCTTTAAATTGGTTCTTATTTATCCTATTTTTAAAAAAAAGAATTTAATTCTTTTTTGGAGTAAATAAAACTTATGTGAATCATTCCACTGCAGATCAATCACTTTTGCCTGATCCCCCTTTCGATTTTAATGAAATATGGTATAACAGGCTCATGCAATTATAATAACTAATTCTGCAAATTTTTGAATTTAAAATTGTCCTAATTATGTGAAGAAAAAAAATTTTCAACAGGAAAAAATATTGCATGTATATAAATGGCTGTATTTTTTTTCCATAGTAAATAAAACTTTTTTAACACCATGACAAAGCTAAGGAATTCACCTTTCAATTGATATCTAATTTGGCCTTCTGATGCTTGGTCAAACTTTGACTTTGTTAAATCTTGAGAAAGCTTCTATTCTTTTGCCAACTCATTCTTCAACTTGGTGTCTCTACATGAAGACTATAAAATTAACAAAAGTGATTGACGTTTTCGTTGTGTGTTTTAACAGGTTGTTTTCATTTCAATTTCAAACCTATACTTTAGTTCTTAATTAATCATGATTTTCTTTATCTTGCAGCATATAATAATTTCAATAAACCGAAATTTAGTTACGCTTCACTTTCTTATTATTCATAGTTTTCTAATCTACCTAAAATATCAGTTATTTTTTTAAGTGCTTTTCTCCTGTAGTAAGTTAACTTTTTTATTTATTCAGTGTTTCTCTACTTATTTACTTTTATTTGATGAAAATAATTTAGCGTAACTTAAAGATGTTTTAAAAATAACAATATTTAACTGTATTTGTTACATTGTTTTTAAAAGTTTATAACCGAAACTATCTTTGAATTTTTGATCTCCTTTTTCATATTTTTGAAAAATAAGGAATTCTGAATAAATTTGTTTTTCTCTCATTTCTGTGATTTGGATTTTAATTTTCAAAATTTTTGCTAAAATGTTTAGTGATATAATTTAATAATAAATAAATAAGAAATGAATAAAAAGGATGCTGGTCATGTGAAATCCATGTCATGTATATTTGTAAATTTATAACAAATATCTTGTTTTTTTTTTTTTTTCATATAAATTAAATGTTTTAAAATAGTGTAAAAAAAATCCTTAATTACAGTTAGTTACGAAAGTGTACAACATTCTTGTGATAAATCTGTGCATTCTTCCTACACATTCAACAAATGCCACGAGAAAAAAATTAATGTTTTAGTAATTTTTGCATGATGCATTTTTGTAGATATTTAAAGTAAATTCAAGTCATTGCATGCTTTGAGCTAGTGTAAGAAGGTCAAATAGGTTATCAATTGTAAAATCAATTAGCTAATTATTTGATAAAATTATTTTTTAACCTGTTTCTTTTTTAATCAATCAAATTGTCTTGAAAATTAATATTCTAAATAAATCAATTTTAATAAAATATTTTTTTATCATACAAACATGATTAATATGATATGTTGTAAAGTCTGAAATGCACACTTTGAGATATTTAAGGCCAATTCCTTTTGTAATAGTTTTTGAAATTTTCTTTTGCTGCAATTAGAGGAAAATTTAAATCCTTTTTGTGTAAGCCAGTTTGTCATTTTGTGTGTGAATATTTTAGCTTTTCACATGTCCATAACTTGGGCAATTTTTAACTTAAAAATCTAAAAATTTATATAATTACTTCCTTTTTGCCCATTACACCAAATTTCATTAAAATCAAGGGGGTTTGTCTAAAATAAATTGAAATGACTCATGTTTTTTTATGGGATAATTAATCGCATATTGAATATTTTCCTTTTGTCTACTAACTACTCTCGCTGTTAAATATTATCATGACTTGCGGGAAGCGGTCTTTTAATCAATTGATCTAGAATTCTTGCTATTATTTCGATGAAATTATTTCACTAGCCTTGAAAATTAATACCATATGAATTAATACCATATTTTTTACAATACACAAAAGATACTTTTATGATATCACGCACTATGTATTAATCCTTCTTTGGTCTTCGATTGATTATTGTTAAATGTGCAATAGAAGATGAGCATTTACAGGAGTCTTGTCTAGGTTTTCCTGAGAGGTACCTATTTTGCGAAAATTTAAGACATAATTTGTGAAAAATTAAAAATTATATTAAAAAATCAACACAATATGGATTTATCGTTTCTTAAGGGATACAAAAATAAAATTTCAATAAAAAGTATTTTGTAAAACTGCTGTTATTCCTAAAGTTGAATTTGTGAAGGTACCGCTAAACGGTAGTAAATTCGGTCTGGACAGACCCCTGATTTATTATATTTTAAATGTATGTTTTTGTGCTATGTTTTAATTGAAGTAACAATTAGATCCTTTCTTTTGTAGAAAGACATACAAATATATCAAGCGTGAAAGACAATTTCCTGAGGCTTCAAAGACAAACTCAAGTCAAAAGTAAGTTTTGTTTGTATCATGAAAAATATTTCAAAATATTTATTTTATTGACTTGCTGTAGAGGAGTCGTATATAATTTCGGCTCTCTTGTTTTTGAAAAATAATCAATTTTTAGATATATCAATATTAAATACATTTTAGAGAATTTGCATAAATGAATGATATCTTTAAATATTGATATTTTTGAAACTATTCTACAATAGCAATAAGTTAAATACAAAATCGAAGTTACAAATATTTGATATGTTATCCTTTTGTTAAATAGTAGACATCTTATCATTGATCATATTCTCTCAGCATATTTTGTAAATTTTTAATGCCAATGATTTTCTTAGCGCTGCATTAAGCCGCTCTGGGTCTCTGATTGTGGCATGAATTCTTGCAAACGATTTGACAATCTATCCTTAATTATGTAACCAAATTGATTCCTAGGCCATAAGCTATGAGATTTTTTTTTAAAGGAAAGAGATTTTTTTTCTGCCAAAAACTTTCATTTATTGATTAACTCTGACCACTTGGTAACAGTAATCATTAATGATCTTATGAAACTCAAAAAACAAAAAGTGTGTTACTGTTTATCTATAAAAATATATATATATATGTATCATTCATGAAATATTTGTGTCTAAAAAAAAAACAAATTTTTTTTTTTCGTTTGATTTCATGTGTAACTTATTGTAGAAAGCGAAATTTGAATATAGAAACATTTATCTACTAAGCCTGTAAAATTTGAAGAAGAAAAGGAAAAAAAAAAAGCAAAATACAATAACTGTACATTTATATATTTTACATCCTTTTTGTTATATTTTTATCATAATTTTAATTCATTTTATGTATTATAAATATGACTTTTTTTGTGCTTTGCTATTTTACATTACGTGTATAGATATTTAGAGCCTAGTAAATGGCATGCATTTTTATTTTTTGAAACCATCATGTTAATAGGATTAATTTGTCACATATTTATTCAGGATTTAAAATCACATGGATAAAATTTTGTCTCTACTATTTTGTACATGATGCACCCTGTTTTCAAATGCAGGATGTAAGTTATATCTCAACTTTTTTTACCTTCATATCATATACAGCTTTAAGTAGCTGTTAATAAAAATCAAATATCAATTTCAATATTTTTATTTATTTCATTTCTGCATAAACATGTAAATTATATTTAAGGCTTCAAAGGAAGTATTTTAAAAGAATAATTTTAAAAATAAAGGGATCTGCTTGTATTTTTATTTCTTGTTTGCGAAAATCATTTTCATTTAAATAAACATAGTGCCTTCCACATCTGATTGTTATGCTTTAAATTTACAAATGACTCAGTGAATGATCAGTTTTAGAAAAGAATGTTTGTGAACAAAAATTTAAAAATAAAAAGTCAGAAAGAAAGTATTTCTTATATAATAACTGTATAATTTTTTGTTAAACTACTCTATGTTTGAAACTTCAGCTCATTCACTTTCTTATTATTATAGGATCCATTCTTGTAACAGTCAATTTCTCTTTAAATTTTTATTTTTCCTGACTGTAGAAGGGAATATTATAAGAAAAAGAAATAATATTTTCTTTTTGTCTTCCTATTTTTTTATTTTTAAATTTTATGAAAATCTTAATTTGTTCCATTCTTGGTGACTTACAGTTCTGCGAATTAATTATTTTTATTGAAGGTCATTGCCCTTGGATGGCCTTAAAATATTTCTCATCGGGAAATTGAAACTTCCTAAAGATATGGTCACTAAAAAAATAGAGGAGTTAGGTGCAGCAGTAGCTACAAAACTTGATAAAACGGTTCAACTATGCATTACAACCAAAGGTAATTTTTTTTTATCGTTTCTTTTTCTTTATATAATCTATAACTATATATACTTTGATTTACTTAATGTCTAAGTAAACATTTTTAACTTAGTATTTATTTAAGAAAAATGTCATTTAAAATTTAATTGTATATTCTGATTTTGTATTTTATTGCTGTATTTTTCTTCTTCTAATAGTCAATATTTTAACCTCTTATATGTGTAATGTTTACCTGTAAATTAATATGCAAAAACTTTAAGATACAATTACTTTGAGTCTTACATTAACCCAAGGTATTAAACAATAATTAGCTGAATTGTATTAAAAGAAACCATTAATATTTAAATAGAGTTTAAGTGTTTCTCTTAAGGTTTTTCCCTTACCTTAAAAAAATCTCAAATTAAGAGTTTTTGAGGTGTTAAGGTTGATTTGAAGTTTGTTTTAAGTTGATTTCAAAAGCAACTTTACAAAATCAACCTTCCAAGATGTTTTATTAATATTTGATGTAGTTTTGAGGTTAATGGACATCTTCAGAGCAACTTGCTTAGGGAGGTTGTTTTTTAGGTGTACAGGTTATTTTTTTTCTACTTTTCAAGCAAATAAGTATATTTGGGGTGCGAATAATTTCATTCAATCCCAACTAAAAGTATCACTAAGCTATATATGAGCATACCCTCCAACTGCTACGGAAATTCCGTAGTTTCAGAAATCTTCTTTTCAGACGGTAGCAAAATTAATGTCTTAATATATAAAAAAAATTAATTTTAGCGTAACTTTTCCACTATTACTTATAAAAGTGCAGGCCATATGGCTAGATTCTTAAGTTCTGATAAAAGTTTTATGAGAGATCCATTTGCTTTAAAAATTTCTACTTTGGTTCGCTACCACTAGAAAGAATTATTTTCAAAATCCTCATAAGTTGGAGGGTATGTATGAGGTTGATTTTAAACAATGCAAACGTGATTGAAATTGAGGTTTATTAATGAGGTTATTTTTGGTGTAAAACAGAACCTCATTTTCTACCTCAGATGTGTTATTTACAACTGTCATCCTCAAAAACACCTTATTTTTTTTATAAGGGTTTGAACATAGTAATTGTTCTATAACAGGGTGGCAATGGAATAGGGGAAAGTCAGGAAATTAGTTGATCTGGAATATTAGAGAATTCAGTTAAAATATCGAAAAAGTCACGAAAAATTAATAAGTGTTTTGGGGTACTTAAATGTCAAATTTTGTTTTTCAAAAACAAATTTGTCTTAATTTTTTTTTATTTTTCTCAAGTAGCAAATATAAGTGTTTTTTTTTTTTTTTTTTTAAAATTTTTTTTTATGTATAGCAACAAAAAGGCATAACTGGAAAATTAAAACATAATTAATAGCAATTTCAATCAATAAATTCAATTACAGGGAAATTTTTCTTCGAGTGTGGCATTTTGATTTTCTTAAGGATTCATTGTAGAATTCAATTGTAGTATTTAATCAGTTAGTAGGATCTCAATTGAGTAGAAAATTGATTCAACTGAATTTTCAGTTTATTATTTGTTTATTTTTTTTTAGTATAAAGATTTATAACCCTGATAGCTTTGAGGTTGGATGTTCATTATGCATGTTCTGCAGAGATAATCAGAAAATGCTTTATTCACATCCATAAATTACATGCTTTCTGATGACTGTAATGTGTGTAGTGCTCACTTACAGACAGATACGAAGCATACAATAATTCATTTTCTATAAGTTATATTGCAATACTTAACTGAAATTTTCCTTGTTAATTCTTACAAATTTAAAAATTTTTAGTATAAACTTTTCTCATTTCTTATTCATTTCAGATTTCTCTGAAATATATTTTATCTCATATATATGTATCTATACATAATGACTTTACCTTAATACCTGCATGAATTAATTTTATAACTCTTGTTTAAAAAAAAATCTGAAACATATTGATAAAAAACTTTCTAAAGAAAAAAGTACATGAAAGATTTCTTCTTTAACACTAATGCTCAATACTATCTCGATCTACTTTGTCGGTCAATTACCCTAACCTTTACTTTAAAAATTTATATGTTGTCGAGCCACATGGTACAGGATTTTCCTTTACTGTTTATCCTATCCTTTGCTTTCTTTCTTTCTTTTTTTTTTTTGAAAGGTTATTAAAACAGTTCAATTAATAAAAATTTAAGTGTTTGATTGTAAATATTTTAAAATGGAGCTCATTTCTTATCTTTTATTGCTTTCAGATTTCTGATGGAGGTTTTTGTGGAATTTAAAAAGTTTTGTAACTCTTACTGTATGAAAATGTTTTAATCGAACTGTATTTTGAGGTTGATTAAGTTTTTTTTTTTAATGTTGCGAAAACTAGGAAGCTAAGGAATTCAAGTTTTATAATACTTCTACAATATTGCGGAATTGATTTTTTTTTAAAAAAAATTTAAGCATATATACTTACTATAAACTACTGCTTTGAAATTTATTTGAATCCTTTAACTTAACTAAAAATATCTTTACTGTCTTCACTTTAAGTATTTGTAAAGCATAAATATCAAATGCAGCTGTTATACATGCTAAGCCCTTTGGCTGATTCACTACTGGGGTTAAATATGTGTGTTAATTACTTCGCTTGACAATTTCCATTGATTAAATGACATAAGGGAAAATTAGTTTTGAGATGAGAAAGCAACTCTTTATCTAAAGGTGCATTAATGTTGTTTAGAAGTTATAACACACTTTTCACTAATAATGTTTATCAATAGTTGTTATCAGAGCTAGGATGTTAATGATAAATGAATTTCTTGCTTTTTTTTTTCTCATTTAATGTATTTCACAAAGGAGTATCATTTTTTGCAGTTTGTAACTTTTTACCAGTTTATTCAATAATTATTATTATTTTTTTTACGATTATTAAATGCTATTTTATATTAAGGTTTTTTTAATTAATTATTTTTCTTTATAAATTATTATAATTTTTGAATAAATCTTGTCGTTTTCAATATCCCCAGTAACCAGTGTTGAAGTTCTACAGACTTTATCGGAATATAAAAACTAGTTTTTGAATAATAAGTAATCTAGTAATTTTAAAAGTATCAAAAAACCTTTTGATAGTACAACACAATTCTGATGTTTTTAAAGATTGTAACGGGAAATTAAATAAATACTTTTTTTTATCTCTATCAGGCATTTACCTTTTATTTATTGCATATTTATTTACTATTTTATTATTTATTGAATTTATAAATTTTAAATAAATAAATATATATATATAGAGAGAGAGAGAAACATATAATTAGAAGGAAAAAAATTTTGTTTGAAAACTTCTTTTTAGAAGCTTTTATGGTCATTATTTTTTTAATTTAAGGTCATATTTGATAGTGTTCACAGACCTTTTTTTTGTATGCATCTTTTAAGAGAATTTTAAAAATAAATTTAGGTTATTTAATATAAATGTTATAATCAAGTGCAGTTTTTGTGGATTAACTAAGTTTATAATTGCTTTCATTTTAGGGGAAGTAGATAAAGATGCAAAACAAGTGATTAAAGCAAGTTGTGAAGACATTCATGTGGTATCTCTTGACTTCTTGGAAGCAATAAAGAAAGGTTCCTCTATTCCTCATGCAATTGAAGAAAATAAGTTGTGCACTTGGGGTGGAGATGTAAGTTCAATTGTGTTTTCTGAACATTTATATTTTTAATGAAACTAGAGAGCAAAATTAATGGTGCCCCTGGCCGACTAAATAAATGACTAAAATAAAATTGTCTGCCAATTTCCACTTATTTTTCAATGAAAATACATCCCATTTGTTTTTTAATATGTTCTCTGAAAATTACTTTAAAAAGTGGCCAGTTAAATTCTCCATCTGGCCTGATGCAAAATTTTTCTAAATTTACCCTATATCTGCTGAAATAACATTTAATTGGGGACTACTTTCTAACTGTGAAATTAATTGAACCCTGTTTTATTTTGTTACATAGTATTTTTCTGTTTTGCAATTTTAAGAAAGATGATCATTTATAAAAAAACTCTTCTCTTAATTTGTAAACAAATTCTTTCTATTAATGTATCATTTTTAGATAAATAAAATTAACTTTGTCCTTTCCCTTTTTCAATTCAGATTTAAGGTCAAATTTAATTTGTATTCACTGACTGCATATTGCTTTTTTTTTTGTTGAAAAATTAAAATAATTAAGAATTTTGTGTCAAAACACTATCTTCATTTTTCATTATTGTATGTATTTGATTTGCTAATATTAGTTTTTTGTTGTCTGTTATGGTGAGAGTAATATATGGTGATGATGGGAGTTATATATCTGGATATATTATCTCATGATGGGGGTAATATATCTGGAAAACTCTAGTACTAAAAGTCTCTAATATCGAGGTAGTTTTGGACCTTTAAAACAAAAGAACTAATGGTTTATTTTTCTACAAAATGTTTGTTGTTCTATCAATAAAATAAATTTTTTATTTTGTTTCATTTTGAATTACTTTTTTAGACAAAATGCTCTTATGATGAGTATGGTTTCTAGCCCTGTTTGATTTTTCCTCTTTAAAAGTGGAATATTATAAATCTTCCTGAAGTTTGACTCAGTATAGTCACACAGTGCTGTTCAGCTCACATTCAATTTAACATACTATAAATGCCATTAGATGTTTTTTTATTAACACTATGAGGATTTAGTGAGGATAATTACTTAAGTATTTCTAATGTTTTATATGATGAATGCTTTTAAACATTTTTTGAACCATTCATTTAATTGTGTTATATTAAATTTTTAGCCAATTCTGAAGTTTGGAATTAAAAAAGAGAAAAAAGAAACTAATTCAAAAGGTAAAAAAAAAAAAAAAGAACTTTGCATGTTATGAAACAATTATATTATCAATGGTTTTCTTGCTGTTTATTAATATTTTTTGGATGAAATGTATTACAGTTACTGAAGAATTAGAAAAAGTTTATAAAAGTGCACCCCAGAAAATGAAAGTTACTGTCAAAGGTGCAGCTGCAGTTGACCCTGATAGTGGTATGAAGGTTTTCAAAATTTATTCATATATTGTTTTAGTTTTGAGTGTATTTCTATGAACTATGTTATAAATCTTGATAAAAGATTTGATTTCTCTTTATAAATAACTTGTTTTATTGACAATGTATGTTAACAGAATGAAAAATAGATAAGTTATGAAAATGCGTTGTTAGTTTATTACTCTCTTTCTTGAAAACTCAAAAAGTGAAGTTTACTCTTAATTTGAGTAACATTAGTACTTGTGTTAAATTTATTATTTGAAATAAATTGAGAGTTTTATTAATTTATTACTGTTTGACATTTAGTGAGTAAACTATCCATTCCTTCTAACTCATAAAATTGCTTTCTTACGGACTAGTAAAATTAGGGAAAGGTTTGCGATTTGCTTAATTGAGTTATGAACAAAAGAAGGTATAATTAGTGCTTAGGCAAACCGCTTATACCATATTTAATTATATATAAAAAATCTTTTGTGAGGTGCAAAAGTAATTAGAAAAATTTTAAAAAATTTTTTAAGCGTAAGGGTTAAACTTCTAATCTTTATTTTCTTAATATTTAAAAAAACAAGCAAACTAAATTTCATTATTTTTTTTAATTTTGTAGCGTTAAGCAAGCAATTTGAAGTATTTGTCATATTGTCTAAATTGTAAATCATTTTTATTATCATTGTCTCATATGGATAATTGAGGTTCTAATTTATATAAAAATGTACATATGTGAACAATTTTTTGTATGTTATTTATTTTGACGATGTTTTACTGATCAAATGTTAAAAATTACATAGGTCTGGAAAATAAAGCCCATGTTTATCAGAAAAAAGATAGTATCTATAATGCTGTTCTTGGAGCAGTTGATGTTCTCAAAGGTTCTAATTCCTATTACAAACTACAAATATTAGAATCCAACTCAAAATCAAAGTATGTTTACTTTTTATTAAATATATTTTTTTTTGTAGTGTGTTTAAGCTTTATATAAGGTAACCAATAAAGCTCTTGCCATTTTTGCTTAGCCATTAAAATGAATGAATTGAGGGTAGGTAAATCAATAAAGCTTAACCCCGACTCGCCCCGTCAGGAGGCATCCCGGGAAATGTTGTTTATGGTTTCAAACATGCCAGTTTCACCTCGCACTGCTATCAATGGTCACTCTTACAGCAGTGAAGAGAAATAGAATTATTGAAGGAACTCGTTCAATGCTATTTGCTTTACAACCTCAAAGTAGACTTATCAGAACTGCATTGAGTCACTGAATATGTCAAATTTGAAACATAGGTTGCCATCTCAGAATACTGTCCCTCTATGCACCCTTGCAAGATTATGCATTGTTGTCAAGTGATTCACTAGGAGCTGCTACTAAAGGGTCACTGCAGACCTCACAGTGTGTGCAACAAGCTTTGCAACAGAAGAAACATGCACTGATCAGGGTGGCCACCCACCTGGAAAACCTGGAATTATCAGGGAATTTTTTTTATACTGGAAAAAACCTGGAAAAATCAGGGAAATATGGATAAAAACCTGGAAATTTTAAAGAAAAGCTGGAAATTTTTTATTATATATTTTTTTAATTTCACTAATTTAAATTATTTGCTAATTTTCTTAATTTAAATTGTTTCATCCATTATACCCACATTTTTTAGACGGAAATGTATCTCCAAACAGTTAAAATATCATCAACTTACTTTGCTTTCATCAAAATTTGCTCCATTATAACCCTGTTAAACTAGAATACAACATAAAATTCTCCCATGGTTGCTAAGCAAATGTCTTTGATCTCTATGCAGACTGTGCAATTTAGGAAAGGCAAAGATTATGGTGGATGTGGAGGACGGGGTTAGGATTCGGTTTTTAAATTCTGTCCGTGTTCACACAATGATTCAAGTTTGTTCGCAATTGAGAGTGGTAATTTTTTTCTATTTTGACAAAATGAGTGAAAATGTTTTTGTAATTTTAACTTTATTAAATTCTCTAAAAATTAGTTGGTTATAATTTAATAATAATATATTTTATATTGCACTCTTTTTCTGAAAGCTTTTGAGCTCCCATTCAAAGAAATCTGTAAATTATTTTTTCTCAGCAAACCAACCAATCACGCATTTCCCCCCATCACTAACAGCAATGTTTGTCGACAAATTGTTACAATTCTTGCATTAATGCTAATTGTTTCTATTTCATTTTAACCTTTTATAGTATATTTTTATTTTGAAAAAAGTTTTTTTTTAGAACTAACTGTGTATTAATATCAAATTTTACGGTTTTGTTGGTAAATATTAGTTATTTGATTCAAAATTCGAATTGTATAATTATCACAATATCGAAAGTTCGTAAATGTTGCTTGCATTCCAGAGATGATGTTTCAAAACTATTCCTCATTTTACCTAAAAAAGCTGACAATGACTAAGGAATATATAGGAAACATATTAAATGATGTATATACATAAAATATAATTTTTTTTATTCATATGTGTTTAGACAGGAGAAGGAAAACGAAACTTCGTGTTTTAGTTCTGCACTGTACAAGATTCCAGTTGTTCAAACAAAAACAATTAACTATGCTAAACTAAAAAACTGTGTGTTTAGACTGGAATTCTTTAAATGTTTTAATTTCAAATAAGAAAAAAAATCAAAAAAGTATGAATTTTAAGGAATTTTATCTATTTTGTTTCTTCTATAGAGTATAGAACAAAAAATTAGACAATTTTACATTTCTGACATTTATTTTTTTATACTGAATCTCTTAAAATAAAAATGCTATTTCAAGATACCATTATTTAAAAATTTGACTTAAGATGTTGGTTTAAGGAAAATATGATCAGTGAATTTTATAAAAAGCTCTGGTAAGATGAAATACAGTATAATGCAGTATACAGTACAGCTTTATATTGAAATGTAATTACAGTGATTCACAAAAGTGTTGATACACTTATAACTTTCAATGAAATAAGACTTTCCATTAATTAAAATTAATGTTTCAGAATGTATATTTAATGATAAAAAATGTGTTCTAATCTTAACATAACTGAAATATTTTAAATGACAATATGAAATATTTTAAAAACAAAGGAAAAATTTATTTTTAAGGAATCAATCATCAAAAAGTGACAAAAACTTTATCCCACAAAAGTCATCATACACTTTTAAAGAAAAAACTCAGTCTATTAGTAAATCTAATTTTTCGTTAAATTAACATTTAGTGGAGTTTCCTTTAGCATCTACAATAGCTTTTAAAGGTTGAAAATACGTGTAACTAGTTTTTTTTTGTCAGGTGAAATTCGTGCAGAATATTTTTTTAAAATTTTTACAGAAACTTTTACAACACTCAATTGCAAATTTATGAATTTTTCCACAAAATTTATAATTTTAATCTCTGATATGAAGTCCTTCTTTTAAGCATTTTATCACATATTGCACAGTTCAATTGAATACAGTAAACTAATTTAACAT